GCTTTACTCCTAGCAGCATGGCCCTGTATCAGTGATGCTGCAGGCTCAAACCAAGGAGTGCAGCTGCCTTCAACCTCTAACAGTCCTCCCTGGCCCAGGCCCTGTCCACCTACCTTGCAGCTCAGCAACCTTGGTCATCGTTGGATACTTCCATAGAACCAGCTGATTCTGTGCAAAGCCATGGCCTGAAACAAACTCCTTGTAGTTTGTTGACCACAGGATAGAACAGACCTGAAAAGAGGCAGTAACACAGGTAAGACAAGCTGCTTGTGCTGATGCTCACCACTCGGAGGTGAGCATGGTTCCCTCCTTTCCCATGCCTGTGGGCCTGAGGAGCCAGCAGCTCTGTGTAGGTGTGCTGGCAGAAGGCATTTGTCTCCAAGCTGATGTTCATCTCTCACCTGGGAATGGGTATCAACAGCACTGAGGCAGGCTCCAGAACACACGTTCCATATGCGGATATGTCTGTCACTAGTGCCACCTCCAGTGGCTAGAACACTCATCTGCCATGGGCACCACGCCACAGCCTGAGAGAGAAGAGCTCGTTGTAAGACATACAAGAGGCAACCTGCACCCAGCCAGTGCTGCATGTCTGCCTTGCACACAGATATCTGCCCATGGCAGCCCTCTGCTCACCTTGACAGCACCCTGGTGCTGAGTGAAGGTCTGTACAGGAGCAAAGTCTCCACCCCCACCTTGGGTGCATGGCCAGACATTCACCAGATTGTCATTGCCACCACTGGCCAAGTACCGGCCATCTAGAGACCATTTGAGTCCGCACACCTCCTGCGTGTGGCCAGCAAGGGTGGCCACATGATGCTCAGCCACTCGGACATCATGGTGATGGATGTGCCCAGTCCGTGCACCACTGCAGAGAGAAGAGAAGGCTTGCAGAGTCAGGCTGACACATTTTCACCCAAATCCATTTTTGTTGTTGCAAGACTGCCCACTGGGTTTCAACCAGTGTTGCCAGCAACATTGGTCTGTTGGTGTGAGTGAAACACCCACACAAGCGCTTTACAACTTCAGCACAAAGTGCAATACAGGAAAGAGGCCTTCCCACAGTCACATCAGATAAGGCTGAGTAAGAATCCCAAGCCAGGACAGAAACTTCTCTATCATCCCTAACCTACACCACACATAGATTGAGGGGTAGGAGTTTGCAACACCTGGAAACTGCCCTTCACCCACTGCTTTACCTGGAGAGGATGTAGCTGTTCCAGCTGAGGGTTCCCACACGGGCACAATGGCTGGTCATGTTTCGGAGACGTTTCTGCTGCTGAATGTCCCATAGCTAGAGAGGCAAAGCAAAAAGTTCTTCAGAGGAAACCCAATCCTGTTCCTATACCCTAGGAACCTCACTGCACAGGCTCTGGCATTCAGCCTTCTCAGTAAGGGAACAGAGAGAATGTGTATCTCATGGCTATAGCACTGAAGATAACACTAATCAGAAAACCCCCAAACCCTGCCTTGCACACTGCACTTGGCTGGGGCAGTTCCACCCCACACCAGGGAAGACAAGTCAGGTGCATGGCATCCTTCCTCTGGCAACCAAGGCTTTGTCCCCAGGCCCCACAGTTCTGTCAATCCCTAGAAAACACCTCTAGTTTTACTCCTGCATTCACCTGGACCTCAGCACTACTTGTGCCAACAGCAAGGTAGTTTCCTTCTTTAATCCATGACACAGAGGAAATGTAAACATCTGGATGCTCCATCTGCAGCAGCTGGATAATCTCCCCAGAAGCGTGATTCCACAGATAAACAGAGTTGTCCAGAGCCACTGCCAGGAAGTTCTGGGAGCTCCAGTCTATGAGATTCAGATCTACGATTTGAAAGAGCAATGCAGGTCACACCATGCTTACCTGGAGAGCCCTGCCCTTCACCTGTGCTGATGCAGCAGGTGTGTGTGTGCACATGTGCACACACACACGTACAGGTAAGGGGCAGCTTTCTCAGTGTCACTGTGCCCAGCTGCTGGGGTCAGGTACCCTGCTCCAGTGGCCTAGAACACTGTTCCTGTAAGGCTACACAGGGACACCCCAGAAGTGGTCTGTGCTAGCATGGGTACATAAAATAATAAAGCCAGCCCAGTTACACTGTCCTAGGAACAGCACTCCAGTGCAGAATGTTCTGGATGCCCAGCACTCAACCCACAGTCTACTTACAGTAGTCATTGCGGATCTCCGGTGCATCCAAGATCCGGTCTGGCATTGAAGGAATATATCTGCTATTCTTCCTGCTGGATCCGGGCGTCATTTTCTGACTGTAGAGCACTTTCAGGTTATTCTGATATCCTGTGTGCAGAGGAATAGGTTTGTTAACCTGAATAAATTTCCTCCCAGCTGAGTGCTGCTCACCCAAGTAGGAATCCCCTGGAGTGAAAATAAAGTCCTAAGAGAAACAGTGTCCTAACGTCACTGGCAGTATGAACTGCTGAACTAGGGTGAGCTACAATTTTCTCATTCATGGAAACAAATGTAACAAACACTTGGGGTTTTGGGTCCCATTATCTTTAGTTACAGTTTAAGCTAGAAAGTGTACAGCAGAGATTTTGATGCTCTTACAGACTTCATGAAGGTTTGCAACCTGCAATACAGGTGAGCAACTGGCAGTCATAGCAACATCCCTAAATGAATTCACTGTAACTGTTATGCCCTCCCTCAACCTCAGGAACCCTAAGAAAGGAGACTCCAGCCTGTACAGCTCTCAGAAACCAATTGATTTCTCCTGTGACCACACACAGAGGTTCTGCATTGCTGTTCCCCAACCTGATCTCCCCCCCACTGATCCAGCTCACACAGACCCTGTATCATACCTTCTGGAGCATTCTGTGGTTTTCCACTGAGGCGGAGGATCTTTGACTCTTCTACATCAAAACCATTCAGATTCACTGCCCAGGCTTTCTGTTGCTCCTACAGAGACAAATCACCCTCAGTGCAATGCATTTAAGACAACTCCCACACAGCAATTAAAACAGACACCTAAGTCCCCTTCTCTTAGAATCAGGAGGTGTTCAACTGTGCTGCAAGGGTCAGCCACACACAGGCAGATCAAACCAGTTTTTCCTCAGACTTTCACACATTGTCCTGCTCACATTTTCATACAATGGCAAATTCAGTGTCATTGCCAGTGGGAAAAGCCACAGCCACAAAGCAACCAAATACTTCATAAACAGATTTCAGAATACAGTGTGAAACATTCCAGAAGTGTTCCCTGTGCAGACATTGTCCTAGAATAGCTACCACCAGCAGTTTCACTTTGCATAGGCTCACAGCTTTGTGGTTTTGTTGCCTGCTATATTTTAAACCCTTATTAGTCAAAAGCTAAATTTTGCTACCTGAGGCAGCAAAGGCTAGAGTGCATGGCAGTCCCTACAGCTTCAATCTCATCCTAGGCTCCTGAAGCCCAGAGTTGCTTGTCAGCCCCATGCGTCCACTCCATAGAACCTATGGAGTTTACTCCTCTGTAAAGGGGCAGGAAGAATTAGTGGTTGTTGAAGTAATTGTAACTTAGCAACATGCTCACCTTCTTGGTAGGGGATTCCTCTGCAGGCTCATTCTCTTTGGTAAGGAGGAAATTTGCCATCTCCATCTGCATAGTGCTGCGGTTAGGAATGTAGCGGTCCCCCCCAGCCTTTGTGGGGGTGCTTTGAACTTTGGATCCAGATTTACCTGCATTTGCATATAAAAATATTGTCTTACAGCTATTTAACAGGTTGTATTAGAGCTTTCATGAGAGCAAACCCAGCACTCTTCCACATCACACCCACCAGACAAGTAGGACTCTGAGATCTCATGCCACCCAGGCACAACTAACTTATATTTTCTTCCCTGCCACCAAGCTGGGGTTAGGGACTGTCTGGAACAATTCCTTTGGTCTAGTGCAACAATTCCAGAGCCCAAAGATAAGGGGAGGATACAAAAACACTGTTACAGGATGTAAAGCTATCAGCTGCGAGTCCCGCCCACACTTGCCCCAGCAGGCAGCTGTGCCAGCAAGGCTCAGCTGGGGGATCAGCAGTTCGCCGGCCCCAGTGGTCAGAGCCCTGCCCCTCATGCTGGGGAGGAGGTGGGTGATTGTCAGGAGCACAGCCCCGCTCCTCCTGCCTCAGCAGCAAGCCGGTAGGGCAGCATGGCTGGGAGCCCAGAGCCCCATGGCTACAGACAAGCAGCCTGGCGAGGTTCCTGCACTCAACCTCTGCCGCTGGGGGCCGGCGCTCACCGGGTGTCTTGGACGGCGTTTTGCTGGAGCTGTGGGAGCGATTGGCCGGCTTCATGGGCGACACGCCGACGGGGCTCGGCCCGGGCCCGCTCTCCTTGGCCTTGCGCTGCCATCGCGCAGGCGGCGCGTTCGGGATCGGCGTGTCCAGCTTCAGCAGCCCGTGCAGGTCCGCCTCGAACAGGAACTGCGCCATGGTCCTGCGGGCGGGCGGCGTCAGCCGTGCCCACCGGCCGGGCTGCAGCCTGCTCCGGCGGGCCCCGCTGGCCTCCCACCACCGGACCTTCCGAGCCCTCCGGCTGCTCTCCCCACCACCGAACACCCTCCACTCCCCCAACCGCCCCTCGGGGACACTTTCCATCAGCCGACACACCCTCCCTCCGCTCGCCAGGGCTCCTTTCTGTCAGCCGACACCCCCTCCAGCCGCTCTCCGGTAAGCGACATTCTCCCTTCCCCTCGTCCTCTTGACCACGGCCTCCCCACCTGAGACTGCGCCTCAGAGCTGCCTGCCCGACCGCCCCGGCCCCCTGCCCGCTCACCTCCGCCGCGCCGCCGCCGCTCTCCCGCCCCGCCTGCGCCGCAGCATTTTAAACGGCGCGCGGAGCGGGCCCCGGTTGGCCGCTTCAAACCCAACGGCCGCGCGCTGCCAGGCGACGGCCGCGCGACGCAACGCGATTGGCTGAGCCGCGGGACGGGGCGCTCGGCGCGTGCGGTAGGGGGCGGGGCCGGGGCCGGGCCGGGCCGGGGCGGGGCGGGCGGCGAAGGAGGGACCAGGCGGGCGCTTGGGAGGGACGGGACTTTATGGCGGGATGGGGGCGGCCGTGGCTGCCCGCGGCTCCCAGCCGCTCATCAGCAGGTAGGACTGGTTGGCGATGTCGGTGCTGGACAGGCGGCCCCCGGCGTGCTCCGGTGGCGGGCCCGCCTCGCGCCGCGGGTCGGGCAGCACCTCCAGCAGGCAGGGCAGGACGGCCTCCTCCGGCGGCTGCTTGTCGAAGGCGCTGGCCTGGCGGGACACGGAGTGGCCGCGGTAGGGGCTGCCCTTCGAGCTGCCCTCCGGGGAAGCTGAGCCGCCCTGCCCCACCCCCTCACCTGGCCGTGCTTGCTGCTTTCCTGGAGGAAGCTGCCCAGAGCACGGTGCAGGTCAGGAACGGGCGGCCAGAGCTTCTGTTTCACGTTGCTGGGTACAGAGGAAGGGGCATCGAAGGTACTCTCAGACTTGGGGTGCCCTAATGCCCCGTGCAAGGTGCCCAGGCTCGGTGCTGCACCCCCCTGGCACAGCCTTTTACCTGTAGAGGGAGGGGAAGGTGCACCGCAGCCCCAGGAGCACTGCTGAGAGGAGCAGCGGCACCACGGTAACACTGGGGATGAGCCAGCCTGCATCGGAGGAGGAACGCTGGAACTGTAGCCCTTTCCACACCCACCACCTCTGAGCCCTTCGCAGCACTCTGCCCGGTGCTCCCCACCCCATTTCCAGCACTCTCCGTCTCTTGCCGTCAGCCGTGTGGCTCCTCTGGCTGCAGCCTCCAGCCCTGTCCCTTACCCGGATCAGCCACGGCATCAACCACAACAGCTTTGGACCAGGCGCTCCAGCTGCCCTGGTACCGCGGCCCGCTGGGCTGGGCCCGCACCTGGGCGTGGTAGCGGGTCCCTGGCCGCAGGTCAAGGAATTCTTTCCTAGCTGCTCGTGGAACCTGCAGGACCTGCGGGGCAGAGCCGAGCTGGAGGCACGGCTGCTGTGGGGCGGCACAAGGGGCAGGTCCCGGTTTGCCTGACCCCCGTGCCTGCCATGTGTCAGCAGTGGAGGTGGGCAGGGCTGCTCGGGTTATCCTGGCCAGTCCTTACCTTCCAGTCATGGCTGTTCTCCACGGCATAGCGGACCTGGTAGTCCAGCTGCTCTGCCAGCAGCTCCAGGGGCGGCAGCCACTGCAGGCTCAGCCGGCCCTGCAGCACTGTTGCCTGCACAAACTGTGGGGCATCTGTGAGCACTGTTGGTGTTGGGGACAGTCATGTGTCGCTCCTGTGAAATGGGACATGGGACACTGTGTCCCCTGTGAGCCAGGCAGGGGCTGTGGTGGCACTGGGACTCACCAGCCTGGTGCAGCCAAAAGGGCTCCTTGAAGTAGCTGAGTGTAGGCAGCGTGTGGGTCCGGGTGACATTCACCAAGATGGAGATGGCACTGTCAGCCTTGGGCTGGAAGGTGCAAGCATGAGTGCCCTGTGTCCCCCTGCTCACCTCCTTGCACTCTTGCCATGCATCTTCCCTGCAGGAGGAGTAGGGAGCCAGTCAGTCCCACCAAAGCACACCCACAGCCAGCATTCCTCCTGCACTTGCCCAGGAAAGCTACTGCTGCTTGTAGTCGGAGGTGCAATGTGGCCAGGAGAGGTGGTGAGGAGAGATTGGTGGTAGTAGGGCAGGACAGAGCAGGGCATGGGCAAAGGGCCCCTGTGGGATATTGGGACGCAGCAGGACCAGTGGTCCCTGGGATGTGCCTGAGTGCCATATGCCTGCCATGCCCCTTACCTTGTGCCAGCCCTGCTTGGAGGTGGCCGGTAGAAGAGCTGGTGGGAGCTGTGGGGCTCTGCAGGGTCCCAGCTCCACTCGCAGCGCACGTGCCGCAGGTCAGGGGTACTGCAGCACAGCCCGATGTCTCCTGGGGAGGCGAGAGCCAGGGCAGGGAGGGGGCTGCTTCCCCTTGGGCCCCCAAAACTTGGGCATTGCACCTCGCCTACAACAGGACCCCCACCCCCTGCAGCCCCTGGTGTGGGTGCCTCCCTGCTGTTCCTGCCAGCACCGCTGCAGAGGGGATGGCTGCTCACCAGAGGAGTGGGGTGTCTCAGCAGCCACTGCCTGTGACCAGGGCCCCCAGACGCCGTCCATGGAGGTACCGTCGGGCTTGCTGCGCACCTGGATGTGGTATCTCACCCCTGGCTGCAGGTCCTGGAGCACCACCCAAGTGTTGGCCTGGATCAGCCTCTGCAGGAGAGGGGCCAAGCTGAGGAGCAACTGCAGGCCTCAAACCCCCCTGCCCATCCCTGACCCCTCTGTGTACCTGCCCCAGTCCCGGGGAGGCTGTCCCGGCCCTGGGTGTGTGGGTGCTGACAGTTGACAGAATGGAGGGGTCCCCAGGGTGCTGCCCAGCAGGGTTCAATGTGGTGCTGCCGGGCATCCCTGGGGAGCTGGCAGGGCAGTACTGCACCTCGTAGAGGAAGAAGTTCGGGAAGTCGGCGAGTGGTGGCTGCCACAACACGCAGAGCTGCCCCGCAGCCCCAGCCCAGCGGGCTGTGATGTTTACTGGGGGAGCAATGAGACCTGCAGGGAGCATGCCAGGGTGTTTGTCCTCCTGCAGCAGCCCCGGTCCAGGCAATGCCTGGTCCTGCTGGGGGACACATGGAAGTCCCCCCAAGGCTGCCTCTGTGCATGCAGGGCTCAGGGTGTTGCCAGCCCCCGTGGCAGGCAGAAGGTCAGGGGACCCAGATGTGGGGACTGTCCTGTTGTCACAGGGCATTGCCCAGTCAAAGGGACTCACCCACTGCATCCACGCTGAGCTCCCGCCAGTACTTTGTGTGGTTTGTGGTGGCATCCAGGACGTGGAGGTGGAGCTGGGTGAAGAGCCGCACGTCCTGGCTGGGGAAGACACAGACACGTCGCTTCCTGCCAGCCCCATGGTGCCACGTGGAGACCACGCATTCTGTGGGCACATCCCTGAGGAATGGAGAGTAGGGTCTTGCAGCACCTCACACCTCCTGCCTTGGGCCAAGCTTGAGGAGAGGCAATGTGGGGCACAGCACCGAGACCTCGGTGTCACCAGCTCCTTTCCTGCGCCATATTCCACTGCAGGCACCATCCCCCTGGGACTGATGGACAGCCAAGGCCTCAGCCCTGCTGCAGGGTGTGCAGTGGCTGCTGTATAGCTTCGGTGGGCTCTCCATCTCTCCTGGCAGCTTGGAGCCACTGGGACAGCCCAGATTGCTGTGACACCCTGGCCCTGCTGCTCTCTGTGCAGCAAGGAGGAGGCTGGGCTATGTCCCCACCATCTCCTACCTGCTGTACCAGTAGTAGAAGCGGCACATCCCAGTTGTTGTCTCCTCTTCGTCCCAGAAGCAGGTGAGGTCCTCGAAGGAGCGGGAGAAACAGAGGATGTCCTCGGACACGCCTGCTAGCAGTGCAGCATCTGGGAGGAGTGTGGCCATGAAGGAGCCCCTGGGCACAAACCTGTCCCCATCTCACCTGCTTCTACCTCAGGCACGCAGGGCAGCCTGAGCATGGCCGTGGCACAGGTGCTCTCCACCAGCTTGGCACACTGGGGAAGGACATGGCACCCATGCTGGCTGCTGGCTTGCACTGGGGTCGTGGTTGGTGCAGGGCTCGCCCCGGCCCCACCTTGTCCCCTCCTCAGTACACGAGGTCCTTGAGGACAAACAAACATCCCAAAATAGCCCTGCGGTCGGAGGGGAGCTCAGGGCCCAGCGATCAGGGGGAAGCACCCCTGCCCTGCTCATGCCGGAAGGTGCGCGGAAGTGAGATAAGGAGGAGCAGCACCCCAGGGAAAGGGAAAGGACCTGGGGGCTGGTGTGGGGGTATGTGACCCTGAGCAGGGGGGATGCCCAAACACCTGCCCAGAGACTGCCCTGGGGACATGTCTGCCCCCCTCAGTAAGCCGTGCTCCCTGTCATTACATGGACAAACTGCAGCATCACACCCTGCAGGATTTCTATCTGAAGCACTAGTAGCTCTGCTGACATATGAGTGTCTGCCTCTGTTGTCTTGGAAGAGGGGACAGTCTCAAGATGCAGATGTGTAATGCACAGGGGTGGTCTTGCTGTCCCCAGCATTGCTTCAGCAGTCCCTTGTCCCACACTCCCTCTGCCCTGTGACCTGCTCCAGCCCTCTTCCTCCTCTTCCTGCTGGCATTTGCTGCTTTCCCCAGGGGTTGCCCTCAGCTTTGGGACCCCACAAGCCCACTGCCAATGTCTGCTGCATTTGCTGAGTGCATCTATTCTCTGCTACACACCCACTGCACTGCCAATTGAGCCCATCCTGGACAAAGAATAAGTTACAGTTCCCAGGTATCCTTGCCATCTTCTTGGTGTCCTTCTGCTCACCCTGTCCCTTCTCGTGCTCCTGTTCATTTCCCAGCTCTGTGTTGCCTTCTTCCCCATGCCCATTGTCCCATCTCCGCCACAGCCCCCCTACCTGTTCTCTTTTTGCCCCCATTACCCCAGCCCAGGCCTCATGCTGGCTCCATGAGCTCACCCAGCTCCGAGCAGCAGGAGATGAAGTGGCCAGGTCCCAGCAGCTCGGTGGCACAGGGACCCATGCCACCAGCTGGAGGCCACCTTGGTTCTGTGGGCTATCAGAGTGTCTTTGCTGAGCACAGCCATTCCTTAGGAAGGGCAGCTGCCCGGCTCTGCAGCCCACACCAGCCATGCCTGGGCAGTGCTGCCGAGCCAGCGGAGGGCTCAAGGCACAATGATTTTGCAGAGGCTGTGGGCAGAGTCCAACCCTGACCCTCATCCCACTGTCCCTATGGGGGTGACTCAAAATGTGCTCCCAAGTCTGTCCTGGCCAGAGACCTGGGGTGGGACTAGAGAGACAAGCAGGAGATCAACAGGGTTTTATTCAATGAATGCTTTTTATGGTGTTACAGAATGTTCTAAAGGGGCTGGGAGGTGCTTACAGAATGCATGGAGAAGCCTGAAATGAGGCAAAGTTGGGGAGTGGCTCTGGCAGGTGCAGTGAGCCAGACTGGGACCAGCTATCAGCTAAGATGAGGGAGTCCAGCAGAACAGCAGGATCATGGCAAGGCTGGTGCAGGAGCACTGAGGTTAGCCTGGAAGTGCCACTGCATTGCCCATGGTGCAGAGCTGTGCCATCAGAGGTTGAGTCTTGTTCAAACCCTCATCCTGTCATAACTCTGAGAACTTCTGATGAGTGAGGAGCCCCTCTGCTACCCGAGTAGGACTGGGAGCACCAGGCTGCCATCCTCAGGGGCAACCCATGGGCAGCCAAGCTCTGCTTGCAGAGAGCATGGATGTTCCTTTACTCCAACCATCTCAGGGTGTCCCACAGGTGAGAAGGGCACTCCATTGCTTATCCTGAACATTCCCTGCACACCCTCCTGGAATGCCCCCTTCCCAATCCCATAGATTCTAGCTGCTGTGAGGTGCTTGCTGCTCATGCCTGGCATTCTAGCTCCTCTCTGGCCCATCCTTTGGAGCAGAAAATATCCCCAAGGACCTACCTTGGGATGTCACTGGCTCAGGGGCTGACGGTGGGCTGCGGAGGCTGAGCAGGATGGTAGGGAGCAGTGAGAGCTGCCAGCCCTGGCACAGGCAGGCTGCCATCCTGCAACCTGTGTGCCGGGGCCACATGTGCTGCTCTCAGCCCTTCCCAGTGTCCTGGGAGCTGCTGCGGCTCCTCCAGGCGATACCTTTATCTGGGAAGTGGTGGCTATGCTGCTCAGGAAGCCTGGCTGGGGGCTCACCCCGCCCCACCACCAGCACTTCCCTGTGCCTGAAACCACAATGCTGCCGGCCGCAGTGCCAAGAGAGACTGCTCCTATCAGATAGGCAGCATGTCCTGCCCTGTGGCTACTGGCATGCTGGGAGGATGGGGTAGGAAGAAAAACAACCCCGAGAAACTAGGGAGGCCCCTGTGTGGGGCAGGGCAGGTTGTTGGGGCTGCTGCCACATGGGAGCACGGGATATGGAACAGCTGATCTGCCTCCATCGTGTCCTGGTGTGCTCCAGGTCTGCTCTGCCAGCAGCACTGTCTCTGTGGCTGTGCTGGGAGCAGAGCTGCAAGCACAGGGGCAAAGCCCTCAGAGGTGCCAGTGTGGTGGGGCCACCACAGTGAGGTCCCACAGTCATGCTCAACCTCATGCCAGTCCATTACTTCCAGTGCTGGAGGGTCTCCCACCCTGCCAGGGCACAGCACTATTGCACAGCCTGGGGGCACCAGCCAGGGCACGAGGAGCCACTTGCACATGTCCACTGTGCACCAAGGCTGGGTTTGCTTCTTCAAACCCAGCAGCTGAGGACAGCACCAGAGGCACTAAAGGGAGAGAGGAGCAGCCAGCCCCAAGTTGCCACAGACAAATTTTGTCAAAAACAGAAGAAAGACCTAGGTATAAGCAGGACTGTGACACTTCCCAGGCGGGAGCAGAGGGGGTGCAGAAGCAGTGGCACATGTCAGGCTGTTTGTGAGGGCCACCCAGTCCCCATCACTGATTCACTGGGGACCTCAGGGATGGGGCAGAGCAGCTGGTCACTAACAGCTGCAGTTGACTCCAAAGAGCACTGGAGGCCAGAATGGAAAATCAGAATGGTATTGACAGGGTTCAGGGTTCAGAGACCTTCTGGGGATAAAAGATGCTTGCCCAGAAGGTCAATACAAATGTCCCGGTCTCTGCAGGAGCCACTGTTGCTTCTTGCACGTGGGACTGCAGATGGCAGACAGACAGCTGGATGCCATGTCCAGGGCTGAGCAAGCTGAAGCCAGAAGAGATGAAGTCCAACCATTCTCAGAGTAACAAACAGCAGCAGTGCAGGTGAGGGACCGAAGCCTGGGACAGGAGCTCCTTCCAGAAGGGTCAGCGCAGAGCCCAGGTGGCCCTTGAGGGACAGGCACATGAGGCTGGCAGCACATGTTCGAGCAGGCTGGTCAAACGCAGCTGTCACTTTGCCAGATGTGGGAAGTTAGGGATGGCTCGGCACAGTGCTGGGAGGTGCCAGCTGGCCAGGGTGGGAAGGGTGTGGAGTTGCACAGCTCCACAGGACCCAGCTGGAGGAGCAGGGCCATCCCTTTAAAGACCAGCCAGCTGAGGGGAAGCTGCAGGAACAATTTCTAAGCATGTACAAGGCAGCTGTGCATAGGAAGGATGCAGTCTGCTCTCCATATCCCTTTGGGGACAAGACCAAGTCTTAAATTGTGTGTGTGGGGAAAGATCCCAGTTGGATCCTAAGAAAACCCATCTCCATGCCATGATGAGACCTGGGATTTGTCTGGGAATGCTGGGGCATTCCTGGGGATTATTAGAGGACCCCAGTGGGAACAGGATTCTGAGGAGTGCCCACCACAGCAGTAGATCACTGGGCCCTCACATCCTGTTCCCCAGTGCTGTCAGCAGGGCAGAAGTGTGTCCCCACCAACACCCCTCTGGACCCGGCTGTTGCATGATCTTTATTGTCTGTAAGGCAGAGCTGACACCTCCGAAGGGCCACTGCAGAGCTGGAGGCTGTGCACAGCCAACACTGTCCTTTTGCACCTGCCAGGCTGGCCCCATTCCATGCCAGCAGCGCTGCTCACAACCCCTGGCACCACTTCAGGCCCAGAGCATGCTGAGGGCTGCAGGGCAGGCAGCTGCTGTGTTGCTGCTTTCTTCTCACGCCCAAAGCTTGAGCATTTGTGTCCGTGGGCTTAGGCAGTACCCTGGCTCCTGAGGGAGACCCTCTCCTGCCTGCTCTGCTGCTAGCACCCTGCTGCTGCTTGTCCTTGGGGGCCACCCCAGCATGTCCCAACAGTGTGGGGCTGTTAGTGGCTGGCATCATGCCAGGGAGGGGACAGCACAGTCCTGCTGCAGGGAAGGGGCACTGCCATTTGGCTGCTTGGCCCTGGAGTGGATGAGCAGCCTTTTGTCCCCACAGCACTGTTCCAGCAGGCTGGGGCCAGCATTGCCCCTCTGAGCGGTGCCAGCGCAGCCTCACGCCTCCTCAGCAGTGGCATCAATCCCCGCATAGGTGAAGTTCTCAAACAGGGCCATGTTCACGTAGGCCTGTGGGGGAAACCCCAGTTAGGAGCCAGTTGTGAGCATGTCCACATCTGCCTCCTGTCCCCACTAGCATGCTCACTGGCACTGTGCCCTGTTGTGTCCCTGCACCCAAAAAGTGATGGTGGGGTTAACCCCCACACATGCCCCGTGCCCTGTGGGCATCCCTTCCACTGAGGTGCTACCACTCACCTTCCTGGCCTCCAGCATGCGGATGAGCTGCATGGAGATCTGGGCGAAGGGAGGGCGCTCGTAGGGACGGTCGCGCCAGCACTGCCGCATCAGCTCGTACCTGGGGGCGGAGAGTCGTGAGCGGCTCAGTTCGCACAGGAGGAGAGGGGACAGAAAAGCTCCTTGTGGGAGATGGGGGAAGCAGGCAGGAAACTAAAGCCGAGGAAAGGTGTTTGGGTGTGGGACCCCAGCCCATCCCTCAGCCACAATGCAGAGGCAACCAGGCAGAAGCTACTGAAAGTTGGTGCGAGCCCTGTGGGGCAGGGGGGTTATGAGGCTGCCACCACCAGCCGAGGCTCTGTCCACTTACACCTCGTCGTCGCAGTTGCGCGGCTTCTCCATGCGGTATCCCTGGGGCAGCTTCTCATAGAGCTCGGCGCACGTCATCCCGCAGTACGGTGTCCCCCCTGTAGCAGAGACACACAGAGCTGAGGAGGTGACAGTCCCTAGGGTGTTCCCCCCAGGGCCCCAGGATAACCGGACCTACGGGGACCTGAGTGAAGGCAGGGGGCAGGGAAGAGCCTTACCCAAGCTGACAATCTCCCAGAGCAGGACACCGAATGACCACCTGAAAGGAGAGGAGCCGAGGCTGTGACAGAGTGCCCAGCTGTGCCCACTGATGGGCACAGGGCAAAGCCCAGGGTGGAACAGGCAGCCAGGGCTTGGGCTGAGCCAACAGCTCCTCAGGGAGATGCACCAGCATCACCTCCTGCCCTTGCAGCACCCAGAGCAAGAGCATTGCCTCTCTGACTGCACCACAGAGGGGCAGAGGTGGCCACAGCCATGCCCCAGCCCAGTGCCCCTGCCTGCAGCACTTACACATCGCTCTTGGTGGTGTACACGCTGTAGTTGAGGGACTCGATGGCCATCCAGCGAACTGGCAAACGGCCCTGGGGAAAGAGAGAGCCACCATCAGGGCTGGACAGGTACCTCCTGGGTGGAAAACAGCTGTGAGGCAGCCACTCCTGCCATGGTGGGTTGGTCACACTGATGGTGGGCATCCTGCTCCATGGAGATGGCTGTATTCACTCCTGGCTCACCATTGTCTTCTTCACATAGACCTCCTCCCCTCTGGAGAGGCCAAAGTCAGCAATTTTGGAGGCCAGGTTTTCTCCCACCAGAATGTTTCTTGCTGCCAGGTCCCTGTGAATGAACTGAAGGGAAGAGCAGTTAGCAGGACCTAACTCCCTAGCACACTCCCTCCTGTGGGCCTCAGGGACCTCATGCCTCGATGGGGAACCCCCAGGCCTCAGGGCGAGGGTGATCTGAGGGGCTTGCTGGGATGTACCTGCTTCTCACTCAGGTACTGCATCCCCTTGGCCACATCTGAAGCAAACTGGAGGAGCTGCTGGGATGTGAGGGTGGAGGCAGTGCCGTGCTCCTTGGCAAAGGCTGGGTCTGTCTCCAAGACTCGGCTTTTGCGGAGGAAGTCGAGGAGGTTTCCATACGGAGCGTATTCAATGGCAATGTACAGGTAGCCTGGGGGGGCAGGAGGAGTTTGGCTACTAAGACTCTCTCCAGCAAAAAGGAACTGACAGCTGGGCAGAGGTTGTGGGGCAGGGTAGAATGGGACAGCCCTCACCCTTGTTCTCACAGGCACCCAGCAAGTTGATGATGTTGGGGTGATGGCCCAGTTTGCACAGCACCTCCAGCTCCCCGGCAAAGTCCCGATGGTCATTCTCTGAAGCAAACTCTGGAAGCAAAGAAGGGATGAACACCTCAGGCTATAACAGGGGCCTTTCCTCTGCTTCTCTGCAAAGGACTCCTGATGCTCCCCAGCACTAGCATGGCCCAGAACACAGCTGCAGCACTCAGTCCACCTGCCTGCCTCCCCCAACACTTACCTTTCAGCATCTTGATGGCTGCATTCATTTTCAGGCCGTCCTTTTTGATCATGGCCCTGATTACCTGCCCAAAATTGCCCTCTCCAATCATGTCCTCAAACTTGATGTCTTCCCACTCCAGGATGGGGTAGCTGAGGGGCTCAGGCTGTGGCTTGGGCCGGCGTGTCAGGGTCAGGGTCCCTGAGTTGAACTGTAAGATGGTCTCTTCCCCCTGGCAGATGGAAGAGGGTGAGGTTAGAAGCACTGAGCACCTGTCTGCCCATGCGGCAGTCCCAGCAGGACAGGAGTCAAGGGTGGGCTCCGCACCCTCTCCGCGTGGAAGTGAGGTCTGGCTGCATCCGGACTGGAGGCTATGGAACGTGACCTGGATCGGGCTGGGACGTGGGGAGCAGGGGACACGGTCCTGGTGGGGCAGGCGGCACTCACCGAGCCAGACTGGTACGTAAAGGTGCGGCGCCGGTGGAAAAAATTCTTCTTGATGAGGAAAAGTGCCAGGAGAGCAAAGAGGATGGTGAAGCAAGTGACGGACACAGAGCCAACAATGGCCAAGAGCAGCTGCTGGTCTGTTCCCGCCTGCTCAGTGCTCTGGCTGCCCAGGCTGGGCGGCACGCTCAGCACTCCTGCCAAAAGGAGGGACGGAGGGTTGTGGTCCATGGTTGAGCCCTGCCTGGCCTGCACTAGGGGCCAACCACGATGACAGCAGCCCTCTCCCACACGAAGACCACCAATGAAGATACCATAACCACATCCTGAGCTCATGGTGCCAGAGTGGCACAGAGGGGAAACTGCCACAGCCCAGCTCCTGACACTGAACCACTGGTTTATGGACCTCCAACCAGCTTTGGGTCAAGCCATGCTCTCCTTGCATGCGGACTCTGCTCTGCTCCCTCAGCCCCTTGATTCACATCCCCTGCTGCTCAAGGCAGAGTCACTCTGTAGGTTCCATGCTGTCATCATGCCACCCCTGCCCCTATAGGACTGGGAGGAGCAGGTTTTCTTAAGACATCAAGAGTTTTGGTCTTGGGCTGCTGCTTCAGAGCCATGCTCATAGATTACCACAAGCACCCCAATAATTTTTTGCTGCCCCAGAATCTGAGCCCAAGCTGCAGCAGAGCTGTGAGCCCCCTGCCTGCCGGGACGCCCCTCTCACCATCCCCAAAGGTCTTGGCTTTCACGGGCAGGCTCCATTCCCCTGGAACATGGGAGTTGGCACGGACACGAAACTGGTAGCTGGTGCTGGAATTGAGGCCCCCAACAATCTTGGTGGTCTCGGCGCCACTGTCGGTGTCAATCCACTGGGGTTCACTGGTGCTCCCCACCTGCTGCAGCTCCACGATGTACTTGGTGATGCCCCCGTTGGGGTACTCGGGCACCTGCCAGGAGAGCCTGACAGCAGTGTCAGACACGGGCTCTGCCGAGAGCAACTGCGGGGAGGAGGGCCCTGGGACCAAGAGAGAAGAGTGTCAGTCCCAGAACGGGACTCCTCATGCTGCCGGGGCTCAGTGCTGCTGTTAGGATTGGACCCTGTGGATGGCAATGGCAACCAGAGCCAGGTCAGCTTTGAGGGATCTTCAGGGATCTCTGGCCCCAGTTTGGAGGAGGTGGAGGTGCTCTCCATGTACCATACTGAACCAGGACAGTACTCCCAAATGTTCCAGCCACACCATCTGAGGTCTAGATGCCTGTGTATTCTTGTGACATTTTATTTCTTCAGGCCTCCGTCACATACTGCCTGCCCATCACTTCCTCTGAGCCCCCTCCTGCCTGCCCACATCCCTAACCCCAAATTCCCAAATCATACAAAGCTCTTACAAGCAGAGAGCAGAGGAAACCTCTCATCCCTCAAGTCTGATGTCTACCAGTCCTCTCAATGTGTCCTGTACAGTGCCAAGTCTCCCCAAAGGCCTTGTGTATGCCTTTCCCCTTGGTTGCCAGAAAGCTTGGTCAGGCTGCTGCTCCATCTCCACATGGTCTTGTACCTACATCAGGGGCTGTGTGTATGTGTGCCCACAGGTGGGACTGCAGGGCTCCCCAGGCCCTAGTGACCACACAGCAAAATTACCTGGCATCAGGGTTAAAGCAAACCATAGGGAAATATTTTTTCATGAAGAGTATAAGTATATAGAGGAACTAGTTTGCTACAAACTAGTACAACTTTACTAGTTGTAAAGTAGCCTTTACAATAGGCTACAATACTAGCCTATTGTAAAGGCTGCAAGTATAGACAGGTCCATCAGGGTTTGGGCAATGGTGCAGAAAACAGATCTGTGAGCATCACTCATGATGACCTGAATGTCACATTCAGCTTAGGATGTTTCTCAGCTCCTTGGTGCTGGAGACTGCAGGGTCTAGTGAGGAAAGGAGGGCCCATTTTCCCCAAACAGCTGTTCATGTTCTATCAGAGATGTGATAAGGAGCAGCCAGGCCTGGGGATGGTTGCTATTACAATTATAACTGATTTATCATTGTATTTCCCTGTTATAGTTCCCAGCATTCCACTGGACCCACCTTTACTGTTGATCATGACCTTATAGGGGTCAGAGGGTGGCCCCAGGCTGGTGCAGTGGTACACCAGCACCTCCAGCCTGTACTCCTTGTTAAACTCCAAGTCCTCGATGCGGGCAGAGAGCACAGAGATGGATGTGATGTTTTTCTCAGAGACCAACCGCCTTGCAGAGTCGAAGAGGTGGACAATGAACCCATGTGCTGGCTCATGGTTGCTTGGCAACTTCCAGTTGACATGAAGCATATTTTTCTCTTCTATGGACCAGCCTTCGATCACAGGCTTGACTGTGGGCTCTGCAAACAAAAAGGCATCAATATCTCACGGCACATCATCCAGGTTGTGCGGGGTCAGAGTCAGGGTCAGGGAGATGGAGGCTCACCAAGGCAGTCAGTCACCATGATGGCTTCGGGACCCTTGCTGCCCTCCCCACCAGCCCCTGGCCGGCTCAGCTGCACCTTGACGATGTAGGCGGTCACTGGCCGGAGGTTCATGAGGGTGATGTTCTCGCTGTTGTCAACTGTTGGCCAAGAAGACATATCAAAACCAAGCCCATCATCCACAGTCTGCCCTGCCACCAGCATCCTCCTGAGCATCACAACAGGGGGCCTGGTATGGAGACATCTGCCCACCTCAGACCTCACCCTCCCAGACACAGGTTCTATCTGTGCCCCCCAGACCTGCAGACACATACCCACAATGGATGACCATGCTGAATTGTCATCCTTGGGCTTGTAGAAGAGCTTGATGGAGGTAATGGGTCCATCACCAGAGAAGCTGTCCACAGGTGACACCACCAGCTGGCGACTCTGCTTGGCCAAGAGCCGGGGGGCACTCAAAGGCACTGGTGGCACTTGAGGGGAAGAAGGGAATGACACTGGTGGAACTGGGAGCAAGAAGGAGCAGAGTGTGGATACATCTGCCACCTCTTGGCTCCTTCCAGCTTTGTCAGGAAAGTCTTTTATAATCACCCAAACCTGTCTGCCGGCACTGTAGCCCACGATGGGAGGTACCCCGTCAGGCGTGGGGGTGGTATTGCCACATCATGCTGATAGCCTCCCTCAGCAACCCTGGCTTGTCCTGCTCATGCCACCACACTTTCCTCACCTCGGATATTGACCTTGACTTTCCGGCTGTCCTGGCCCCCGGTCGTGGAGACCCGGCACTCCCAGAGCCCCGTGTCTGCCTTTGACAGGTGCCGCACCTCAAACTCGCAGGTGATCTGCTTCGGCTCGATGATGGTTTTGATGACCTGTGGCACAGAGGGTGCTGTCAGTCCTTCCACTCTGCCCCTGGCTCAGCCCCCATGAGTCTGAAGCTGCCCAGCAGCTTGAGGGAGCTGTCAACATGGAGATGGTGGTAGGGTAAGGGCACAGGGCAGTACCTTGAGCACGGTGCCGTCCGCCTTGCGCAGCTCCACGCTGTCCCTGGTGGGCAGTGGGTTGCCAATGGCTATGCAGCTGATGATGGGCTCTGAGCCCAGGTTGAACTCCAGCTCTGAGGCCAGTTGGATGATCTGAGGAAACCGGTCTGGTGCACAGAAATCAACATTAGGGCTGGCCCTGCTCCTCCCCAGGCACAAGAATGCCTGGCACTTTCTCTTGGACACAGATACAGCCAGACTGTGGTGCCAAGGGAAAGGTCATGGATGCTGTGGTCCAGCCCTGATCCCCATCCCACATGCTGGGCTCAGCAACACTCTCAGCACAGATAATGCTGGGATGCCAGATCAGATGTTACCCTTGCAATGTCCTGGGGTCTACAGACTTGGAGTCTCTTTCCACAGGCAAGGGGTCCTGCTGAACCAGCTGGTGAGACCAATAGCCAATGGCCCTCCCAGTCACTGGTGAGGAAGGAGCCAGCACCCACTTGAGGATGGGGCATGGAAACCTGCCACAGCAGGTGCCAATCTCACCTGACTTCTCACAGTGCTGCCCATGCCAGCCTGCAGGGCAGACACAGCCACTGAAGCGGTTACAGCTGCCTCCGTTTTGGCAGGCGCACTCCAGGGCACAGTCAGGGCCGTAGAATCCTGAGGGACAGGCTGTGGGAAGAGGAGAGCTCACTGCTATCCCTGGCCATGGCACAGGACCACAGAGACAGCAAGCAGCTGATGCAGGCAGCAGTGCTGCTACTCAGATGTGGACCCTCAGATGTGGAGAGCTTTGCAGAGGTACTGCTGGAGAGCAGCCAGGCCCTGGAGGAAGCCCAGCTGAGTGGGAGCGCTCATGGACACCCATGTCCCTGTACCTTGGTCGCAGCGGGAGCCACTCCAGCCCGAGGCACAGGAGCAGCCGTAGGGGTCGAGAAGGCAGAAGCTCAGCCCCCGGCAGCCCTGGGCTCTCTGGCACGTCTCCTGGCAGTTGCGGCCAAACTGGCCTTCCTGGCAGGCTGGAAAAAGAAGCATGGTCTGCCCTCACTCACCATTCATCCATGCACTTACTGCTTGTGCATGGCACAGAGCTGGCTCGGGTGCCCCAAGCCCCATATCACCACCTCGAGGAGACATGGGACCCATGTGGATGCTCCAGCCCCAGCCCAGAAACAGAGGGCACTGAGGGCGGGGAGGCGCTGGGGATGAACACGGCATTTCTAGACACAGTGCTCAGGTCTAGGGGTGCAAGAGAGCCCCCACATATGCCCTGGGCACAGCACCCACGGCTGGGCAGGTGGAACGCACCTCTCTCACAGCGGGTGCCCATGAACCCTGGAGGGCAGATGCACTCGCCAACGTGGTCATGGCAGATGCCACCATTCAGACAGTCGGGACAGTCCTTCTCACAGGATGGTCCCCATTTCTTCGCAGGGCAGGCTGCAGAGAGAGCAGAGGGGTCCCGAGTGCCACCTGCTGCAGGGCAGGGTACGGCTGTCCCCAGCCCCCAGGCAGCCAGGGCCCTGCTCACCTCTCACGATGAGGCGGTAGAAGGCACTCCACAGAGGGCTGTCCCCCATGAACGTGGCACTGTACACACCGTTTTCGCTGACACTGACGTTGGGGAGTGTCAGGACGACATGGTCATCCTGCACCTCGCCCCGGTCCGTGGTTTGGTAGTAGGTGCCTGCAAGGGGACACAGGGTTATCTGTGACCTCCTGTGCCCTCTGGGCCAGCACCAGGCAGCAGCTGGGAGCAGCTCCAGCCCTCTGTCTGCTCTTGGAACTACTTGCCGTTTCTTTTCCACATAACATCTGTCTCCTTCCTCTTGAGGATCCTGGCAGAGAAGGTGGCCACCTCAGCAACATTCACAGACTGTGTGGCCTTCACTGGGAAGAGGTGGGCTGCAGAGGAGGAGGAGGCACAGATTGCACAGTGGTCAACCCTCGAGGACACTCACATCCGAAGGCAGTGCTGACACCCTCAGACCAGTCATATCAGGGCACACCCTGGCGTATTTCTGCTGGAATGTCATGACACATCTCTCTGTCCACTTCATGCTGGACTCAGGACCCCCCAAGCCTCTGCAGGAACAGGGCTCCCTTCCCAGCCCCTTCAGGCAGACACCAAGGAATGGAATTTGTCACCCTGTCCTCTGAACTGCCCACCACCTGCACAGGATGCTGGTGGCAGCAGTCTGGGAAGGTGACATCTGGAACAAGTGTGCATGGTGCACCCTGCCTGCTGGTGAGGTGTGGAGTGCTGCAGGCAGGGAAAGCCGGGCAGGGGAGGGGAATTAAGTGTGCAGGAGGCTGCACTCCAGCCCCCAAGACAAGCAGCCCTGTGATGGCTGTTTTCCTGATTCCCCAGGTGCTGGGGTGTGCAGCAGCAATGAACTGAAGTATTAATGTGAGTCAGCCAGACCCCAGCCTGAGCACAAACAGGGCTATAAATACCTTAAGGCCTGGGAAACCAAGCCCAGGGCGTGCCAGGACAGACACAAAGGAGGACCCAGGCGGCTGCTGGCTTTTGGAGCCTGGCAGTACTCCAGCTTGCACACACTAAAAGGAGCCACGCCGGGTTGGAGCTAAAACACATCCAGCCCTGTGTCCTGCCCCTCCTCTGAGGCCAAGGACCAGGAGGAAGCAGCACACACCACAGACGCTTAGGGAAGGGCACCGCAGGTCACACTTGGCAGTAATTTCCCAGACTCTTCTCCCCACCTATCCCTCTAGTTTCTTCCATGGACTTTGAAGCCTGCAGTGGTGGGACCACAGATATGGACCTCACTCTGTTTCACTCCACCTCACTCCCTGGAACGAAAGATGACATTTCCCTGGGGACCCCCAAACACAACACTTTGCATTTGTGCACACCGATTTACCTGTCACTCCATCACTGCAGCCCTCCCAAACTGCAGCTCTCCCCTGTCTCTCTGTCACTCCATAGTGCATTCATCATCTCCCCAGGCAGCTTGGGGACAGCAGCCAGCATGGCTGCTTGTTCAGCTCTTTGCACCCACAGCTGGTGATGCAGGTCCACACAAAGACCTTGCGCCATGCCAGTGGGAACTCCATCGTGTGACAAGGACTGCTCCTACTCCTAATCTCCCTTCTTATAGTCTGTTATTTACCCATGCAAAGACCTCTCCTACCATCCCCTGGGTGCAAAGTTTCTCTCAAAGAACCTCTGAAAGGGAGTTTTCCCAGTTTTCTCCAGGAATTTGAGCAGACAGTATCAATTTGGTCTTCTACAGCATCCTCACTGCTGCCACCCTAGAGACCCTACCACTGCAAACTCAGCTGCCTCTTTCTCAGGGAGCACACCACCACATATTCTGCTCTTTATTACAGTTTCTGCTAATTTGCCAGGTTCTGACTCAAGTTTTTAGTCCTGTAACTCCCTGCCCAGAAGTTTTAGGAGAGTCTAGTTTCCCAAGGGCAGCAACCCAGCCTTGCTCACCGCATGCCCAGCCTGGCAATGTCCTGCTGCTCTGTTCTGCTATTCATAATCTGTCTCCTGCTAACAACAGTGGCATTTTAGACAGATCCCCCAGCAAGTTTTCCCAACTCCTCTGTTGTGCACACAGATACAAAAATTTTTAAAACATTGTTTTTTCTGCAGTTGTTTTTCTGGGTGTCTTTCTGCTCTGGAAAGTGTAAAAGATAATTTATTGACAGATTTAAACACTTCTGAAATTGCTTCTCAGGATCTCTTTGGTTTTCTTTACTTTGTTTTTTCAGCAATGCTTCCAAAATTTATCAAACTTCCTAAGTTCTTCTCCATGCATGACCTTTTGGGAGCTGCCAGCTTTCCTCTAACAGTATTCCCCACCCACTGTTTAATCACCCTAGCTGCTTTGGTCAGTTCTCTCAGGCTAAACAGGAGAGATGGCATACACTCTTCAGTGGGTTCTGTATCCAGCCCTCCTGCAAACATGTACATTTTTTGTTTAATAATTCCCTTATTGTTTAAACTCCTCCTCTAAACAGAACAATAGAAGCTTCTTTGGAACTTGTGAGAGAGACACCTTTTTGGCACTTGTAACTCGCACAGGGGCTCCTCCAAAGCACTATTTTAGCCAGGCTAAGTGGACTCAGGAGCGGGGGCTGACCGAGAACACCCCACCATGGGAAACACTGTCCCAAGGATGGAGCCCCAGAGCCATCACCTTCATCCATGATTTATAAACAAGGACATCTTGGGGTGCAGAAATCCCTCCATGCTCCTCACCCCACGCTGCTGGTTGTGTCTCCCACACTGTCTCTCCACTGGCCTCTGCTCCATTCCTCAGTGCCACCCTGCTTGCTCAGACAATCCAGCTCCATTTCCAACAGGACCACAGCCATTTTTCAACTTGAGCCTCTTTACAAGGACAAAAGCTGAGCCCTGCTCCCTGATCCCTGGGGGATGCTTAGGCCCCACCATCAGCCTCTGTGCCTCAGTGTGGAGACACTTGATTTCCTCACTGAAGCTATGTGCTTAACACAGGCATGGAAACTTGTATCCCCTCCTCCTATTCTCAGCAAAAGGTCAACTGTTTTAGCTAGACTTTCTAAAAAAGAGCTAGAAAGCATCCTGAGGCAAACGTCTCAGAAAGTTTCAGTCCTAATAGTTTTTCAAAGTCTCAAGCACAGGGAGGGGAGGTCAGAGGGGCAGTGTGGGAGAGTACTGCCCCAGGCAGTATCCCTGCTGCTGGTCAGCCCAGGGAGGCCTTTTCAATTTTTATGGCCCAAAACAGGAGTGGGAGACGAGCCCAGCATTGCTCTTGGCTACAGTGCAGTCTGCCAGTGCCTCTCAGCAAGCCTCACTGCTGGAACAGCGATATGCTGCCCCAGGATGGTGTTTGTCCAGCCCCTGTGGAGAGTGCCAAAGATCTGCCCCAGCACAACCTCCTCCCCTTGAGCCTGTGGTGGGAGCATGGGCTGGCACAGCTCCAAAGGGCTGGCCCCTGCTCTAGTTAATGATTTCCAGACCCCACAACCTCCTCCAAGGGCACTCAACTTCCTCTTGGACCTTGCCCTTCTCCCAAGCCCCATTGCTCCTCCAGCTGAACATCCTTTCCACCTCCCTTCCATCTCCACTCCACCAGTGCTGGTGGACCCCAAACCTAGCTTATGGGTCACCACTGTCCCCCCACCACCCTGGCTGGTGCTGATATTGTGAAGCACAGTGCAGGCAGGTCCCCTGTGCACCCGACTGGCAGGCGGGGGCCTCCTGCTGCCCCCAAAAGCCACTCACCGTTGTGGCTGTTGTGCACATAGACCACCTGGGCCTGCTCGGTCGGGGTGCGCCCCAGGCAGTAGAGGATCCCCACCAGGTCAGCCTTGGAAAAGCCCCTGGCCTGGACTTGGTTGCTGCGGTTGCGGTAGTTTTGGAAGCCCATTTTGGGGTGCGTCATCACGATCTTGTTCTCCCGCTCGATCTGCAGGTAGCTCACGTCGTGCTCCCCCACGACACAGGAGAGGAAGAAGTCGGAGTGGGACAGGCTCTGCACGTTGGCGATCAGGGTGATGTCCAGGATGGCCCCTGGGGTGAGGGAGCACAAGGGTGTGTCACAGCTCCACAAGAGCATGGCCACACCAGCCCTGCCTCGGGGCCAGATCCTGTCACTCAGATGTTCCCCCCTTTCCAGGACATTTTTGCCACCCTCAGCCCAGAAGGCACAGCTTGGGCAAAGCAAGGTACATTGCAGACACATTGCGATGACACAGCATGCTTTTCTGCTCTCCTTTTGGAGACCCCAGATGGATCAATTCCCCCACATAAGCCAAGCATGCATCAGAACGGGGGTCTTGGGGTGCTTCTCCTCCCATGTCAGAGAGGCAGCCAGGGGCCTCTGAGGGCTCCAAATGGCTGATCACAAAGGGACATTTCCTCCCTCCCTACCCTGCTCCGATGGCGCCACTGAGCTTCCACAGCTGCCTCGTCCCACCAAGCCACCCTGAGGCAGGGGCTGCTCACTTGAGGCAGATGAAAAGAAGCTATTTACCTGCCAGATGTGGGAAGAGAAGTAGAAGATAAAGCCGGAGTCCCATGTCCTTGGAGCTTGTTCCAAATCTGGCAGAGGTCAGAAAATCCCCAGCATTTCCTGGCTACGGAGGTCAGAGCTGGAGGCTGTGTCTGCCTAGGAGCTCCATGTGAGCAGCAGCTCAGGTCCACTGTTCCCTGCCCATGTTCCCCATCTCTTCTCCATGCTGTTGCTTGACTTCCAGGGCAGCTGGGACAACCTCCTTTGGTGCATAGCCTGGACGCGGACTGCGAGATGCCCTGTTTCTGCTGGCTCCTTGGCCAGCCAGCTGCTCAGGAGCAGGGCTTGCTGGCCAAGGGGCCACTGGGGTCCCCTGCCTGGTGGCAGCTCTTCCAAAAAAAGGCACCAGCCCACCTCTCCAGGGCTAGGGCTGCGTGCTCAGGGTTCCCTGAGCCATGCTGAGGCCCTAGCCCAGGCAGGAGGTGTCCTGACCCTGCTTTTTGTCCAAGGTTCAGCGTGCCTCATGCCCCAGCCCGCCCGGGTGGCAGCATCCCCATCCCCTCGGTGCAGCCCCGTGGCTGATGGCTGTGGGAAGGGCTCTCTGGAGCAGGGAAAGGAAAGGGGCCAAGGGGCCGTGGCTGGCTGGCGGCGGCGGAGCCAAATCCTGTTTCCCATGCGGCGTTTCCTGCTCTCCACCCATTGTTCGGAGACGGCCCTGACTCCAGGAGCCGTCGGGAGCAGCCCTGCACGGGCTGTCCCCCGGGGAGCGGCGTGCGGCGGGGCTGAGGCCGCGCACACCTCGGGGCGCCTCAGCCTCCCGCCGCCACGGGCCGGGTGCGAGGCATGGCCCGCCCGGGCTCCGCGCTGGGCCAGGCTGGGCTCATCCTGCAGGGCCCATCCTGGGGACACCGTCGGATTGAAAGGGGCCGAGTAGGAGCCCCAGCAGGGTGCCAACAATCTGCCCAGCTCACACGGGAGGGTGGCCACTGCCCAAGGAGAAAACCCTGTGGTTTGTGGTAAACATGTCTGGGAGGAAGGGGAAGCAGGAGAAAGCCTGGCTTTCCCTGAACACTTTCCCATGCACAGTGCTGGCATGGGCACAGCACAGCATGGCCTTGCTGCAGCCCAACCCGAGTGTCTCACACCCAGCACGGAGACTGTGCCAGCCCCCAGCCGGATCCAGGCTCTTTGCCTGGCGAACAAAAGGCATTCCCTGGGAAATCACCATAAGCTTCATGCACCAAACTTCACACTGCTTCACAAACCAAACTGTTCCCATGTGAAAGCCAGGGCTGCCAGGCAGTGAATCTCATGTTTTGATGTGTCCTGGGCCCATGCTGTATCCGGCCAAAAATCTAAAGCACACATGGAGAGGAAAGGGAAATCCATTCATCGCTTCCGGCTATTTACAGAGTGCTCTGGGGCCGCACAGTGCCCATGGCATGCTGAGGGAGGGATGGCAGTGAGCAGGGGCTCCCACAGTGCAGCTGCCTGGCCACCCCACAGCAGGAGGGGTGGGGAGGATCTGATAAAGGTGGACACCAGGTGCAGCTGCCCTCATTTGCCTGGAAAATGAAGCTGTCTGTAGAGTCCAGTCAGGCTCAGAACTGTGTGCTTATGTGCAACTCATTCCATGCTTCCCTGGCAGCTGTGGGGGAGCACATCACACAGAGCCCGAGTTACAGTGCACTCTGTGAAATGCCCTCTTTCGGGAGGATCCATTTGAGGATGGGATTATTTGCACAGATTTTTTTGCATAATGGGAGCCACATGGGATCATGCTCAGCACCAGACCATACCAGATCTCAGGGATCCTTTGAGAAATCTGACCCAATGTGATTTGTTTGCTTGTGTTTTTGTCTAGGAGTACCTGGATAAGAGCTGTGCTGTCTTTCTGTGAAGATTCCTTCAGGTGGAGGTAGGGTAGGAAACCTTTCTGGGGAGTTTTGTGGCCAGACAGGATCTTACACCTCCAGTTTATCTCTCTCCAGAGGAGACACCAGAGAGACAGGCACAGCCGAAGCAGCTCTCCACACTTGCTCTCCTGCAACATGGAAAGCTCCAGTTGCCCAATCCACAGGACATTCCAGGCACCTGAATATCTGCTGATTCCATGATCCTCAGCTGAAGCACAACAGAATAAAAAACCAAAAAACAAACAAACAAAAAAACCCCACAAAACCACAAAAACAAACAAAAAAAAACCAAACCAAAAAACCCAAAGACTGACAAAAATATCACTTTTTGTTATCATTTGCACATTCAAATGCATGACACCACATGCCAGAAGCCATAACACACAGATACATTTCCTGATAGGAAATGCAACCGCCCTGCAGATGCACCAGTGGACTGAGCTGCCTCAACACTTTCTAGCCCTGCTTCTCTAGATGCTTGTTTTATTTTAAGTGCTCAGCAGGTCCTGGGGAGGCCCCGCAAGGCTGGGTTAAGGACTGATCCCACCAGGCATAGGAACATCCTGGAAACGGGGTAGTTGAGCATCCCCAGCCCGCCTGGGCAGCTGGGAAGCAGGAGCTGCCTGCTGCGTTGGCATCCAGCATATGCCCACAGGATGAAGGACAGGCTGCTGGGAAGCGCTTTCCCTGAGGAAAGGGTGGGACGTGCGGCTGTGGAGGAGGCCTTTGGCAGCTGGGGCAGGAGGGGCCGTCCTGTCCCAGCTGCTGACAGTTCCAAAGTGCTCTTGCTGGCAATCGGCTTCCTGACGCTGAGCAGGCTTGGGACCAGGGAATGGGGAGCAGGGAAGAGCTTGGTGCTCTGTCTTGCTGCAGAGGCAAAGCCAGGAGCAGGTGCAGCCAGTTCTTTCCCTGCCTGGCCTGTGGCTCTGCCAGCCTTGCCCACTCACCCGCCCCATCACCCGTGGGCACAGGAGCAGGTCTGGTGTGCCAGCAAACATCCATGAGATGCCGCTTTGACATGATTTCTCAGAGTTTCACTGACTCCACAGCAGGATTGGAAGGGAGAACTACTGTTAAGCGGCAGGTCTGTGTGGGGCGTGCCGAAGGTGGTGGGGCACTCCCATCCTCTGGGACCTTCATGGACAGGTGCTGTTCACTGAGCTGCTGCTGCTGCTGGGCCCAGAGACCTGCCAGTTTGCTGCTTGCTTTAAACACCTTTCTGCTGGAATTCCAGCAAGACTTTTGTTTTCCTGTAGGATACTTTCCTGCTGCCTCAGCCCAAGTTCACCGGCCAGGACTGGCTGTGTGCATGGACCAGCAGCCGGAGCAGGCTCAGGCTGCTCTCCTCCAGCGCGGTGTCTCAGGGCAGATGCCACAGACACAGTGTCCCCTCCTCTGTCTGGAGGCCCCCCAGCCCCTCCCAGGGTCCTGCTGCCACGCCGGCAGCCCCCACGGCACCCCAGAGAGCAGCAGGCGGTCCCGGTCACCGATCACGGGCGGCACAGGGCTGGGAGGTGATGGGCGCGGCTGTTAATGTGTAACCGGCACCGCCACCTTTCACCGGCTCGGGAGGAGCGGGGCCGGGGCAGCGGGGCCGGGGCAGCCGGGCCGGGACAGCCGGGCCGGGGCAGTGGGGCCTGGGCAGCCGGGCCGGGACAGCGGGGCCGGGACAGCGGGGCCGGGGCAGCCGGGCCGGGGCAGCCGGGCCGGGACAGCGGGGCCGGGGCAGCGGGGCCGGGACAGCGGGGCCGGGGCAGCCGGGCCGGGGCAGCCGGGCCGGGACAGCGGGGCCGGGACAGCCGGGCCGGGGCAGCGGGGCCGGGGCAGCCGGGCCGGGGCAGCCGGGCCGGGACAGCCGGGCCGGGACAGCCGGGCCGGGGTAGCGGGGCCGGGGCAGCCGGGCCGGGGCAGCCGGGCCGGGACAGCCGGGCCGGGGCAGCCGGGCCGGGGCAGCGGGACCGGGGCAGCCGGGCCGGGACAGCCAGGCCGGGACAGCCGGGCCGGTCCCGGGCGCTGCCGGCGTGAGGGACTCGGTGCGGCCCTAAGCCGGGCACCCGCGCCACACCTCGCCCGGCACGGCCGGCTCTGCCGGCTTCCCAGCTTTCCCCGAGACTTGTTTTTCTGGCCGGAAGTTTCCTGGAGCCAAATGGCTCCTACCTGCCTGCTCTGCTGGGTCTGTGGCCTCCTCTGCGTCTGGTCAGTGGTGATGGGACACCCCTGCAGCCTTGACCGCCAGGTAGGGGGGCCGTGGGGGCTGCGGGGGGGCAGGGCCCCGCTCCGGGTCCTGCCAGCACAGCTGGGGTGCCCACGGGGCAGCAGGGCCTGGCAGGCAGCTCCTGCTCTGCACAGCTCAAGAGAAGATGGGAGCCAGTGGAGTTAATTGAGAGATGTGCTGTGCCAGTGGCTGCCAGCCACAGGGGTGGTTTGGCCATGCCCCAAAGCCTGTCTGTCCTGCTCCCAGCCTTGGGCTGAACATGTCATGTTGTCCAGCCTGTTCACCAGAGCATGGCCTGGCACAGCGTTGTCTGAGTCATGGCGTTTCTGACTGTGGGGGTCTCTTGGCTGCAAGTGTAACACAGCTGCCCATAAGGGGTGCATGGCAAGCAGCCATGAGTCACATCCCTGAAAGAGGTCCCAACCCCTCACTCCTTTCCCCAGTGCGTGGTGATGCAGTGACTGGAGCCAGGGTGATTGGCAAGCCTGGGGCCAGGATCCCTGAGCACCCAGCAAGGAGCAGGAAACACAACTAAGCTACTGAGACAAGCACTGCAGCCAGCAGTTTGGCTGCATCAGGAAGGAGCTGAGGGAATGGAGGAAAGTGGCTGTCATGGGCCACTGACCTTTCCACTGATCTCTCAGTTATTCCACCCAAAGGTTTGCACTGTTTTCCAAAGCCTTCCTCAGCCCAGCTGTGTTTGAGCTGGAAACAGGACCCATGTGATGCCCCTGTGCCTTGGCCCAATTATAAGCCAGTCCTCAACACCCCAGGTTTTTAAGAGCATATCTGTTCCTCTACCAAGCAGGAACAGCAGGGTCTGATAGGAGATTTAGGTGGACAGGAGGATGAAAAGAGAGGTGAAAGAAATGGAAAGCCCAGCTAGCTGGAATATAGCCAGACACAGAAACCCAGGACCACAGTAAACTTACAGCACAACATCTCTGCTTGCAAGGTCCAAACACAGCACTTAACAGGAGCTTGTGCCTGCCCAACCAAACTTAAATTGCTGACTTGCTCTCTGTCAGCTTCATTTTGGACATTTGATCCCCTCCCACTAAAAGCCCAGGCAAGAGTAACCCATGCTGGGGACTGCTCCCCAAAACTATTTGAGTTGAGGCACCTTGTTTTACTTGTAAAAAAAAAATCCATCCGTGTGGGTTGACTGATCCTTCCATCCTGCTCTGCTGGTATTTGGGACAGTGAATGGTCCTTGGCCTTTTTGTTTCCTAATACTGACACAGCCAATTAGCATTAAGCCACAGCCACTCACTGTGTATCCTAAGGAACGTGGGGTAGATGAAGGCATTGGTACACTGTCCTGCAGAGGTCCCAGTGAGCTGTTCCTGGCCTTGGTGACTGGTACAGGTGCCTACAGCTCTCCAGCCTGGTCACCTTCCTGCCAGGCAAGGCTCGCCTGCTTCCCTGCTCCAGCTGGGAGGATGCCCTGTGTCACACAAAAGCTCCCAGGGGACTGGAGGTGGGGATCCAGGGGAGGAAAAGGAAGGCCCTCTGCAAACTGACCCTGAATGACAACTGCCCTGTACGGAAGGACAGGGGGGTGACAACCTGCTGCCTTTGCACACATCCATTTGGGCTTTTCCTCTAGCCCTGCACACTCCTCCCGTGCTGTTTCAGTCAGCTGCTCTCAGTCCTGGGCTGTCCTGCTCATCTTTCTCCATTTATCTAGGCTCAGTCTTGGGCTCAGACTCCAGTCTGGCAGCTCATGTGTTTTTTAAATGTGTGTGTGTCTTTGCTCTTTTTAAACTCTACTGGGTAATTCAGACATTTGAACCTTTGAGGAATCTCTCTCTAGTGACACTCCCCATCATGGATAGACCATCTCAGACAGTAGTTCTTTTCCCAGGGATGGGCCAATTGCAGTGGGAAGAGCCTTCAGCATGCTCCAAGTTCCCTTCCAAGAAACATCACCAGTTTGGACCTTTCCTTCAACTCCTTGATCATGCCCCATCACAGGACTCTCTTGAAGCATTTCCCTTCTCTGCACTCTCTCAACCTCTCCAGCAATGCCAAGCTCACGCTGAGCCCAGCAGCCTTCTCCAACCTTGGAGCGCTGTGTCTGCTGGACCTGAGCAGCTGCAGCATCACCTACATCCACGTGGACACTTTCAAGGGCCTGGGAAACTTGCACACACTGCTTCTAAGAAACAACAGCTTGCAAGAGCTTGATGTCCCTTTCCTTTTGCCACTGAAAGCTCTTTTCCACCTGGACCTGCAGCACAATGCGCTGGTCTCTGTGGACACTTGGAGCCTGCAGCTGATGGAGACAGTCCCACGGGTCCACCTGGAAGGGAACCCCTGGGTCTGCAACTGCAGCGTGCACCCTCTGCAGCAGTGGCTGCGGCGCAGGCGAGGTGAGTGGAGGGGATGGGTGGGTGGCAGGGAGTGTGTCGGTCAGGTGGAACCCTGAGTGCAGGAGTCTTGCTTGAACCATTTGCTCTGACCCCTGGGCAAGGTCTGAGGTGGCTCTCTGCCCTATCCTGTTGAGGGACAGCAAACCAAAAGGTGATGTCTGTTCTTTGCTTGCAGTTACGCAGGATACCAAGGATTTCTAACAATGTCAGCAGGATAATTTGGCTACTTTTCTGGGAAATGGGTTGCATGTACACTTTGGCCTCTAAATCCATCTTTGTGTGCCTTTGTGGAGTGACCACATTTTTCATTGTTGAGGACTTGGCAGCTCCCTCTCTGGAGCCAGGTCAGGCTCCAACCATCTGAGCTCAGCTCCGAGTAAGAGCAGTGGAGTTTCTGTGGGTATCCATGAATTTGTCTGTGTCCAGTTTAGAGGAACTGCTAATCAGAGTCATACACGGTTCCTTAGTCAGGGAATTTTCCCTTTGGTTGTTTCCTACAATATGCTGAGGGTCAGCAAGTCTGTAAGGCAGAGCCAGGAGCACCTTGCAATGCAACCCATCAACCCAGGAGCAAGCAGGGATCATGTTCTCTAAACAGGCGAGGTGATGGGCGCAGACCCCCATCCCACCTTAGCCCATTTGTCTCCCAGTTGTGCAGGTGACCTGCGTGTCGCCCCCGGGGCTGAGGGGCCAGGAGATCACAGCTCTGGATTCTCAGGACCTGGGCTGCCAGATTAAGCAGCGGTTTGCTCGTGAGCTCAGCACAACGCAGCTGATGACAGTGACTGAGAACAACAGTAAGTTGTGCAGATTCAGAGGTGTCCATAAAGTGTCCTCCATCATACTGGATGGGACTGCAGGTGGAGACCCCCTGCTCTGCCCCACAGCCCCAGAGGTTCAGGCTGCTGGGCCGTGCTGGTGCAGTGGCTTGGTGGGAGGGTGGCCGACACCTGGAGGTGTTTGTTGGCTTTGTGACAGGAAAGTTAACAGGTGCCACAAAGCCACATGGAGCACAGACTCCACAGTGATAGGCAGCAGTACCAGCCAGGCAGTTTTCCCCCCAGTGTTCACACTCCCTTGGTACCTGGTCTTGGTGAAGGGCATCTGTGTCACTCCTAATGAAAGTGGTGTAGTGCTGGCTGCACACTGCAGGCAGGCACACGGCTGGAGGATGGGGAGCACTGGGTGTGCTACAGGCTGACCATGCACCTCTCCTGTGTCACAGCCACGGCACTGCCAGCCGGGAAGGGGGGAAGGAGCTGGCCCTACCTGGTGGGATTCCTGGTGACAGCGATTGCCATCTCCATCCTGATTGCACTGGCTGCCAAGTGCAAGCTTGTCCACAAGAGCTTTGCCAGCTACCGCCACCGGCCGCTGCCTGAAATCAGCTCCATCGGAGGCAGACCCATGGAGGATAGCAGCAGCTGGGACAGGGGCTCCTGTGGGAGCCATTCCATAACTGATGCTGCCGACCTGCAAACTGAGGATGATGATGGCTTCATTGAGGACAACTACATCCAGCCCAGTGAGCAGCTACCAACAAAAGAGGAGCTGGAGTTGCATCGCTCCATCTGAGCTTACAAGCTTACAACTCAGCCACCACTGCTGCGGTCTCTTGCTGTCTCCCTAGCTCCACCCTTTTCCTACCTGCCCTTGGCTTTGGGCCCCACATGTCTGGGGCAGGAGGAAGGGAGCAGAGAGGAGAGGAGAGAGGGATGGGCTTGGCATGGTGATGGAGGCTGAAGGCAGCCAGTCCCAGAGTGTCCCAGCATGACACCAGTAAGCTGCACTGTCACAGGGACACCAAACCACGTGCTGCTTTCCCAGCCTTGCTCAGATGCTAAGGATGAAGGAGGTGGTGCCTATCATGCCTGGGAAGCCAGGTGAAGTGGGAAGAGGAGCCTGTCCTGGTGCTGCCATGGGGTCTTGGGCACTGGTCCCACTGCCCCATGGTGCCAGACCCAGCCCTGCTCTGTCCCTCAATGTGTTGTCACTCTGAGGTGTGATTAAAGCATGATTTAGCCCTGCCTCTTTGTGCCAGCAATGGTTTGTTGGGACTCTCCCAGCCCCACAGCTGCGGTGCAGCTTTTTTGCATGTGCTTTAAAGGACCATAAATACATTCCTCTAACTGTGGCAATGAGAGACCACTTCTGTGGCACAATGAGTGCTCTTGTCCAAACAAATATTTCACCTGCTGTGGTGCAGGCAGCCCTGGTGCACCATCACAGGGTTTCTGTGCATGTCTCTCCAGCCATGGCCCTTCTTTCTTTTCTCTCTTCCCTCTCCAGGAAGACAAACTAAAAGACAGCTTTCCCCTGTCAGCTCTGCAGAGCTGAGCAAACTCATCAGTGCTGCCAGTTGCAGTGCCAGGCCCATGTGCTGGGGCGAGGTGACCCTCTCCTCCAGCACCCATTACAGAGTTCCACGTGTCTCTTCAACTGTGGAGTTGCACAAATGTGATAATTTTTACATTCCTGTCATCTTCATCTTTGTGGTATGATGAAGAGCACATGAGACACAGGTAACTGCAAGTTATTTCTGCTGGAGTTGTGCCTTCATGGGTTACTCTGGAGTTAAAAGCAGGGAGCAGCAGTGGCATTCACCTTTAGTAAGTGATTCATAAGGCTGGTACCAACCAGTTGGGAAGATTTCCCAGGGCACAGCCCAGTCATTACCATCCCTGATAGCTCAGGAGTCTCTTTGTCATGCTCCAGAGTAAGAGATATCAACACAGGACAGCATTTCTCAAAGCTCTGCCACACAGCTAATTCCTCCACCTCCTTCAAATCTCTATTTCACTGCTAACTGCCTTTCTATTTCTCCACTCATTAAAACATTTAGTATATAAAAAAGGTAAATAATACACCTCAGAGAATGTAAACCAAAGGGGAAAAATGGGTCAGGCATTGGATGGATGAGACAGGGTAGAAAGCAAATGTGCCACTTGAAGCCTTGAGCAGGAGGAAAATCTGCTGGCTTCTTTCAGTGGTCAGCCAGTTTTTGCTCTTAAATGCCATATTTCTAAAGTGAACTTTACTTTTTCAGTTACTGTCTCATCATTTGTTTTCTGGGCTCATCAGCTACTGATGAAAATACACTATATAATGTATTTTTGGAAATTTCTAATATCTTTTGGGTAAGAGATTTAAATCTGCGGTTTGGGAAAAAGCATTTCAGTTATCTTTTGGAGGGTATTTTCTGGGCTTTTCAACATGCTTTTCAATCACGTGAACATACTAGATGCAGTCTTTTCTTTTTTGTCTCGGTGATCTCTTAAAAGAAGTTAAAAATACAAGCATCCAGGCTTATTTGTCCAGGATCTTACTCACCAGTCCCTCAGCACTTAGTGGTTGGATGGCTTGTCTACTTTGACCCTGCTCATAAGTTCACCCATTTATTTTTTAGCCAAGTAGACATGGCAGGTTTTCTTGTGTGTGTTGCTGTGTGCTTGTGTGTGTGTGCATTTTCTGTCCCCTCTCAGGCAGTTGGGGTGCAAGTGAGCAGGAACCTGGCAACTCATGTTTGGGGAGAAATGCACCTGGCATGCAGAGCTGGGAATAAAAGGGGTCAGAGCATGAAAAGGAGGATCCTTCTCCAGGGGTCCACCCAGGAAGCTGCCATGAGGGCCTGGCTGAGGCTGGCCGGGAGCAGGAGCAGGTATGCAGGCAGACTGGTTCCAGGTGCGAGGCTCAGCCCTGCCACAGGGTGAAACAGCTTCTCTGTAAACAAACTAGCCAGCACTGACACATTCAGGAAGCTTTGTGTGCTCCATGTGAGCATCTTTCAGGGGCATAGCAAGGTCTCAGGTTCACAGAGCAGCAGTAAGGGGATCTGGATATGTCTGTGTTCTTAAGCAGAGAGAGATTAACATGCATCTGGAGGTGGGAATTGTGTATCAGGAGAGAAGTACATGCATATTTGGGGCTCTGGTGGCATTGCCACACTAGCTGGTGATCCAAAACCACAGCCACGTGAGGGACCTTGGTCTGTTGTGATTACTGCCCTGGGCTGAGGCCAGCCCTGAAAAGCCCTGACACCTCTGCTCTGCAGAGAGACCTGCATTCAAGTACCAGCCTTCAACACAATTAACTTCTCTAACACTTTATTATGTATGTCCACATACAACACAAGAACCAAGAAACAAACCAGCACCTGCGCTGTAGAGGGGAGTCAGGGATTGAGCAGCACAGGCTGTCCCTCTGGGCAGCTGGACCCAGCCACCATCTTCAGGCACAGCTGTTGTCTCCTTGGTTTGCTGTCCCGGCCCACAGTCAATCACCCTTTTCTGGCACAATTCACAGGCACTTGGGGCACGTTTTGAAGGGGCTGTGGAGGGGACAGGATTCACATTGACATGCAGGCAGCGTGGAGCTGCGAGCTGGGCACAGTCATGCTTCTTCACAGAAATGCCCAGATGTGCAAAACAGCTGGTGTGCAGGCAGCTGTGGCCTGTCAGCACGTGCGGGCTGGTGGAGCTGGCAGTCACTGCTGGACCACTGGTGCTGGCAGAGGGGGTGCAGCCTGGCATAACTGCACATGCACTGACACCAATCTGCAGAGCAGCACAGTGGTGATGGTGGTGCAAGACCGTTCAGCTCTGGCCTGCCTTCCTGGGCAGATTAAGGGAGGAGATGCAGAGAGAAGAGGAAACAGCAGTTTAATAAAATCTACAGATGATGTGAAAATGGCAGAAGAAAATGTAGAAATAGAGATACAGAGAGAAAAGCTCAAATGATGCACCTGTACACTGGGAAAAACATTCCAAGGCTTCAGGCAAAGGAAAGTCAGCAGGAGCAGGGCAAGAACAGGTGGATACAGATGTGGTTTCATGAGATCTCACTGCATTGGGAATGTGAAGCTGGAGCTGTGAAGGGGTGAAGGCCTCACTGACCAGCTGATGGTGAGCTCTGACACTGCCTCCAGGTGTAACATGGACAGTGATTTGTGCTCTTGGCAAGGGAATCAGCTACCATCCTCTTCCAAATGAATTTGTTACCAGGCATCAAAAAACAATAGCTCAGTCTTGTTCCATTGCAGAGGACACTTGGCAAATAATGAGCAAAACCAACATCTGGGGCAGAGCAATTCAGGTGAAGGAAAGATGGGAGCAGACAAGATGAAAAATGACAGAATAGTCTGAGCTGGAAGGGGCCCAGGAGGATGACAGAGTCCAACTCTTAAGAGAATGGCCCACATGGGCTTCAAACCCGTGATGTTGGTGTTATTAGCACCATGCTCTGACCAGCTTGCTAAGAGGAAGAGGTCATGCAGGAGCATCTTCAGTAGGAGGTTGGGATCTATGTCTATGGAAAGGGCAGTGAAATGGTTAGTGAGTCTATGAGGGAAATGAGATTTTTGTCAGGTAAATTAGACTTAAGTCACAGGAAAAGTTCCTGGGGTGAACTGTTAGTCTGCCTCCGGTAGAGACACCCTGGTGATAAAACAAGACACCTTGTAGAGATGAAACAGCAAAAAAGCTCCAGGTAAGGCCCAAGTGACAGTAGAGGACCTTTTCTACCCTGCAGCAGCTGCAGCACTTGGGAGACAGAAACAGCATGAACACAAACAGGGACTGGGATGAGCTGCAGGGCTCCTGGCAGCAGAGGTGCCTCTGCCTGGGAAACTCCTGTAGGAGGGCACAGCACTCTCCCCTCACACAGCTTTTGCAGAAGGCAGCCCCAGCGTCAGGATTTGGGCGTCCCATCACCGTCCCCTGGTGACTGCACCTTGCTGTTTGTGGCTCACGTAGCTGGAGCATCCTGGCATGATAAGAGAGCCCCAACACTCAGTCCAGCACAGATAACCCATCAGAGCCTTGGCACCAACACTGCTTCATCACCCCTTTGATAAACCACAGGTGATGGTGGGCTGCAGAAATGTAGCACTGGAACAGATGCTGGCATTGCAAACACAAACAGCATTTCATGTGAGGTCCAGCCATGCTGTGGCTCTAGCACACACAATCCTGTGCAAATCCCACACTCACTCCCACAGACACCAGTGATTTCTTGGGAGCGGCCCCTGCAGCCATGCCTCCCACCAGGCTCCCTTGTGCTTGCTGACACAGAAAGTATTTCCTGCCATTCACCAGCTGCTAGAGGCTCTACTTCACTCAGCAGCTGGAGGCTCTGCACAGAGCACAGGTTGGTTTTATACCACCTGCAATTACAGCCTCTCCTGCCAGGAGAGTGTATGGCACAGTCCCAGGAACTGCAGGAACCAGACAAGTACTGGGGTTCCCAGGGGTACAGGACAGGCTCACCTTTGCTCTGTAACATGGGTCACAGCCAGGCAGGCAGCAGCTGACACAGGAGGCTTTGTGGAGATAAAATGCCAGCCAGGTCAGAGCCCGTCCAGGTGCTCCGAGTCTGTGCTGTGCCACCAGCCTGAGGCAAAGCAAATGCCAGTCATCTCCAACAGGAACACTGGGCACACTGCAGCTCTCGCCCTTCCCTGGGGAAAGGCCATCACTGACGGCTGTATCCACTAAGGCTCACACAGAGGTGTCCTGGGTCAGATCAGGTTGGCCATGCTGGAGGTGGGGGGAAGCCGCCTGTTTCCAGCGAGGCGGCCGGAGATGGTGAAGATGCGGATCTCGCCGGTCTCCAGGCTCCGAGGAGCTGCCCGGCGGCAGGAGGTGCACAGCAGGTATAGCAGCAGGCAGAGGAGGATGGCACTGCCAGCAGTCAGGAGGATGACCCCGCTGGTGAACATGCTGGCCAGCGGCCGTGCGGGGCTGAGCTGCATGGTGGTGGTGGAGAGGATGGTGAGCACCACCCCACAGACCAGCAGCACCAGGGCGCTCAGCAGCAGCACCAGGCAGTCCGAGAAGCCTCCGCTCTTCAGCAGCTCGATCTGATCCCGGCTGCGGATGCAGTTCATGTCCTGGATTGCAGAGCTCAGCAGCTGCTTCAGCAGCACGAGCAGGGCCAGGAGGCAGAGTGTGGTGCCCACGGCGAGCCGCCACTCTCCAGAGCGGCTGCTAGTGCTGTACAGCAGGATGATGCCCCCAATCCCGCAGGCCAGGATCAGCACCACGGCCATCCCATAGCACAGGATGGACTTTTTGGGGTCCTGGAACCACCAGAGCTCCACATGCTCTTCCAAGATATTCCTCTGGATGTGGTCTGCGTCTGCAGGGGTGCGGGGGCTGCTCAGCTCTGCCAGCTCTGGCATGGTGGGCAGCTGGGTGAAGAGGGCACAGAGGGGGCACAGATGAATTTGCACCCTTACAGCAAATGGAGGGTCAACGCAGCAGCAGTGGTGAAGGCAGCTGCATTTCTCCAGCAGTGATGTCTCAGTCTCATTCTTTGGATCCTGATGGAATTTCCTTTTGCAGTGGTGCCACCAGGAGAGTTATGGTCCACGTGCTGGGGTTGAGCCCACCACCGAGGCAGGGCTGTGAAACATGATGGAGCGTTCCCAGAGCAGCACCACAGGGGAACTGCCAGGGCTGTCTTCTTCCTTTCCCGTGTCTTTCATCTGAAAAAGTCAAGAAGAGAAGATATCATTAAACAGACACCCTGCTCCCCTGTACCAAATAATCCTGTGCCAGACCCTGGGCCTTGGTTGCTGAGGCTGGCCTGCAGACCTTACTGTGCTTCCCTCACAGAAGCCCTGTGTGCCTGAGAACAGATCAGCTGCATGTCTTGTGGGAGACCTCCATGTGCTGCGGGGGAACCCCAGCCTGCCCCAAGGGCGAGTCTCCTGCCTCCCCAGCGCTTTGTGCCCAGCTCAGAGGCTGCTGGCACATTGCTGCCCGAAGGACTCTGCCTGCAGCTGGTGCTGGCAGCAGGGCAGGGAGTGAGCAGAGGCAGGTCCCTCCTGGGATAAAGCCCCATTCACAGCTCTGGCTTCACATGCTCCCTCATCAGCATCAGCCTCTTGTCACCAACTGGCTCTGCTGCCCAGAACGGGAGGTGGGGGTCAGGACCAGGGTTTAACTCTTCCACTCCAGTGGCTGGAAGAGTGAGAGCTGCCATAGTTGTGTGTTCTCAGCCCTATCCCCATCCCTGCACTGCCAGTGGTTTCCCCTCAGAAGTTCCCTACAGAAATGTGGTAGCTAATCTCCAGTGATCTCAGCACGTGCCTGGAAAGAGCCCTTATCTGTGGCCTGGCACCCTGAGATTTTGCTCTCTCACTGCTGGTCTGTGAAGCACTTTGCCACTGGAGGGGAGCAGAGGAAGGGCAGCATTGGCTCCAAGGTGCTGTGCTTAGCTGGGCTCCCCTGGGCACAGCACCTTGTCTCAGCCCACCACTCATGGTTCCCAGGCTTGTGTCCCCACTCTTCTGGCCCCCCTTAATACTTCTTTGGGTACAGTTTTAGATCAAGAGTGGAAACCACTTGCATTGCTCTCACATAATGTTCCTCCCTGGCATGTGAGTGCTCCAGCTGGTCCCACAGCACTACAGGGATCCTCTAGAACAGCTACTACCCAAACCATGGAGAGGTGCTGGAGAGGACAGCATGGGAGCATGTCAGGAATGACTGAGCCTGGAGACATGGGGCAAACCCCAGAGACCCAGGGGAGACAACCTCTCTGGTCACCTCCTAGACAGGACAATGCACCCTTGGCCACCCCAGGCACACACATGAGCTGCTCTGAATCCTGCAGGAGCCCATGGCAGGGACAGGAACTGACTCAGGTCCCTTGTGTCAGAGCTGTGTCACTTCTCCTGGGTGGGGGGACAGCCACCCTGCCTGCTAGAAGTGGCTCTCAGGAGCCCATCAGCCCACATCAAACACACTCCGTTTGCACCCTGCTCTGCTCGGCACTGGGGCTCAGGGCTCATTACACACAGGCACAGAGAATTTATGACCTCCACACGTGGCAGCTCTGCACGCACCAGGGATCTTTCCTGCCATCACTCTCCCCGTCTGTTCTCCAGACACCGCATCCCTCATGGCAATGCCTTTGCTGCCAGCAAACACCTCAAAGCCCCTCTGTGGGGCCGGGGGGACAGGGAGGACAATTGTGCGGGGAGTGCCCGAACCAGACACCGCCTGACAGTGTCAGGCCAAGCTCCTCCTGAGTCACTCCCCGGCTGTGATGGAGCATGAGCTCACCCGGGACGTGGCTCGGGCCGCTGCCAGCGGCAGCGCGTGTCCGTGTCCGGGAGTTCTGTGGGCACGGCGGGTTGGCAGGCCCGGCAGCGATGGCTGCGGCACGGAAACCCCGGCTCCAGAGGGGACACCTACAGCTCCTGGCTGCAGCCAGAGCAACCAGAAAGCACCAGTTAGAGAGAGAAAGGAGCTGTGGCCGAGCGTGTTGGTTTGTGCTTGCTGGGATGCACTCGGAGTGTGTGTGGGACAGCAGATGCCTTGCGCTGTCAGGTATGCCCAGGACACAAGTCCACAGGAAGGTGAGGATGTCATGGGGCACTATTAAAGTAGAGAGAAGCAAGGAGACATTGAGACTGGAGCTGTTTCTTTAGCCTATGCAAATCAGCGTGGTGCTAAACATTGCTCTCTCCTGCCTTTCCTTCTCCAAGCACAAAGGTGCCTTCTCTCCTCCTTAGCAGTGAATGGGTGAGTCTAATAGATTGCAAGCTTGTAGATTAAACTGAGATTTCAGACTAAGAGAACATAAAGCTTGGAGAAGTGCAAAGTCTGTGTCCCTCTGCTGCTTGACCCAAGTTATACGAGTCAAACAGTAAACAAGGAAACCACAGCACCATGAACCACAATGAGGGAAAATCTGATCAAAAATCAAGCTACAGCACTGCATTCTCATGTTACTTTTAAAAATTTAACCATTTTAGTTTTTTATTTGCTCAGAAAAAGGACAAGGGAGCAAAAAAAAACCACAAAAAACCCTAGGATCATATGGTCGAAGAAGGAAAGGAAAATTAAGGTATCACCTCTACAAGCATGTATTTCCCAGTGTTATATTAACCTCTATTAAACAAATTATTTGGAGAGTTTCCCAGTGTTACATTAACCTCTATTAAACAAATGATTTGGAGAGGCAAAGGCTTCTACTGAAGTGTGCTTTCATGTTTCCTTATGTCTGTTTGAAAATGTTCGGGGAATATAATCTTTTGCTCTAAAACAATCCACACTTGCTTCTTTAGACCCTGAGGGCTTGTGTTGCTATTAACAGTATTTTTACTCCTAGAATCACAGAATAATTAAGGTGGGATGGGACCTTGTGAAGTCACCCGCTTAAAGCAGAGTTCACCTAAAAGTCAGACTGAGCAGGTCAGGGCCCCATTCATTTACATGCCAAGGATGGAGGATCTACAACCCCTCAGGGATCATTCCGGAGTTAAATCACCCTCACCATGAAAACATTCCTCCTTAAAACTAGCTACAGTTTCTCGTTCCTCAGGCTGGCTGCTCCCACCCTCTTCAGAAAACTCTCTTTATATTGTAAACCAAAGCAGCCCTATCCTGGGCTGTCACCCACCGCTCCATAAAGAAGGGATGAACCTCGACCTCACAGCAGCTTTGCTGATCTGCTTTCTTGGCACTGTGCAGCAGATCACTTTGCCCAGATCAGACCCAGAGAAAGGAAGGAATATAGATGCTTGCTCTGCCATGAGGGAGGACAGCCATCCCAAGCTGTTGTCCCTTCTTTTGGTGTTCTTTGGCCTACCTGGTCTCACAAATAACAATCTGGGACAGACCATAACAAGCCAGTTGGCCCATCAGATTGGTGTAGTTGACAGTCTGGATCACAGATCATTAATCTCTACATTCACTCACTACTGAAGCCAGCACCTTCTGTGCTCCCATCTCTGCAAGAGAAAATGGAGGAGAGGACCAGCCCAGCCACTCAACGCTTTAAGTCCAAAGAGCACATTTCAGGAAAAAAGTGACATGCTGTCCTTCCCCATTGCTGGCTGGCAGCTGTGGAGGAAGAACAGGAAAGCACTAGGAATGCAGGAAAACAAAAATATTCATGTTTTTCCTTTTCCATTGTGTTGGTTGTTTTTTTCTTTCCCTACTCTGACAACATGTAACTGGAAATTGAGGGTCATCATCAATGTGCTCCTGGCCACTCCTGGCTACAGGTGTGGGAGATGTACTGGCTGAATGCCTCGGAATGATGCAAACCCCGGGTACCCCTTGAAACAATGCTTACCCACAGGGTTTAGGAGGGGAAGTCTGGGGATGAGACAGGCTCTTGCAGTATTTCCTTGTACTTCCAGCCTTGGAAGGGTTTTATGCAGCTTTTATGTGGACTTTGTAAGCGTCATGGAGACTGGGAGAGTCCAACAAGATTTGCTATAAAATAACAACACATAAAATTATTTACCTGAGCAGTGTAGGTGAGAGCCAACAGAGCTTCACAATCTCAAACAAATTGAAGCCATCTCAGCCCTCTGTTTTCCCAGTCCATCACAACTTATTTGCTTCTTCACCTGATCTGTCCATAGCCTGTTTGGGATGGATCTGTCACCACTCTGTGCCTTACAAAAATCTTTAGTCCAGAATAGGCATAAACATTTTCCCATAATGTAATGTAATTTTTTCAACTTCCAACACTTTAGGAAGCATTTCTTTACCAAGAGAGTCAGCCCTGAATTGTTGTATATCCCTTCCAACTGAAACAGTACATTCTATTCTGACTATTGTATTCTAGTTTGTCTATTCTAGCCTATTGTGTTGTCTATTCTATTGTATTTCAATTGAAAAGGACCTAAAATGATCATCTAGTCCAACTGCCTGACCAATTCAGGGCTGACCAAATTCAAGAATGTTTTTTAGGGCATTGCCCAGAAGCCTCTTCAATACTGACAGGTTTGGGGTATCAATCAATTCTCCAGGAAGTGTGTTCCAGAGTTTGACCCCGTTTTCAGTAAAGAAATGCTTCCTAAGCATATTTGATTCTGTTCTAACTCCCTATAGGCTCAAAGAGAATTAAGCTCATGTATCTTGTTTTATGACTGAATTACTCTCAATGTACAAACCAGAAGCTCTGAGTGTCATGGTGCTAAAGGCCTGTCTGTGCACCTGGGAGCATGTGGGAAGTTCCCTCTCTGAGAACTCAGGACTGGGGCTGGGGGAACCTGCAAGGAATGGGAGTAATGGGGCTTTTATGTGGCATCTATCTGTCTTGCCCAAAATCCTAGCTTGAGATCCACACTCCTTTGCCTGCCACACCAACCACCAATTCCCAATGCTCCTCCTTTCCTGGGCTGCTCGGGATCCATGCAAAGCTGTGCAGAGTGCCCACCCTCTGACAGATGGATAATGCTTTCCCAGAAGTGAGCTGCTCCTGCCACGAGACTCCATTTGGGAAGCCCCAGGGAACCCTGGGTGATGGTGGATTGTCCCTTCCCTTCCCCAAGCCGAGGGGTTCTGGGCTTAAGGATGGTGGAGGGCTTTTTGTAACAGGGTCAATGCATGGCTGTCTTTTACACAGATCTAGACACTTTTGGCAGGCTCCATTGTAAAATGTCATGTTCCCCTTCCTCTTTGTACACTCAACAGGCATCCATTATCCTGACCCTGCAGAGCCTGTCCTGATGCACCTCTGCCAAGGGTGGCCTGGGAGTTCCAAGGGAACAAGAAGCTGAGAGGAAACAATAGCACAAGGAAGAAATGATTTGGAGGCAAGAAGCAGGGTCTCTGAAGAAGTAAGGCTGAAGCAGCCTCAAACCTGCCAGCAGCTGCTGCTGAAGTTCCTTCCCGCACAGCTCCCAGGGAGGAAGGGATCACTCACCTGCAGCAGACGCTGCCCACATGCGACAGCCTGGCACACTTCCCTGCTCCAGGCTGGCAGCAGTGGTTTTCCCAGGCTTTCCTTCCACTGGATCCAGCTAACGAGGGAGCCCACGGGGACAATCTCTTCCCTTCCTCTTGCAAGTGCCTGTCAAGACCCAGGTGAGGCTCCCCTTCCCGGTGCCGCGGCAGCCCGGAGGTCCGGCGGCAGCCCTCGCCTCCTGCCCGGGCAGGTGCATTCCCCAGCTGGGTGGCGTCCCAGCAATCCTGCTGCTGCTCTTGGAGACGCTCCAGAGCCGCGCCGCTGAGCAGGTGATACCCCTCCCTCCTTCCCTCCCTCCCTCCCTCCCTCCTCGGGCAGGATCTGGCCTCTGGCCACACACCGATCCTGGAAGATGGCTCATTTCCTCCCAGCTGGAGGTGAAGGGGTGCCAGAGCCGGGGAGCAACTCCCAGGCAGTAAGGGACAGTGCTAGGGGACACTTGACACACTCAGCAAGTATTTGGTATTAAATAAAGTAGCTCCTGCTCTACTGTATAGGTTAGGGCCATGCAGTCATATCAGAGCCTCTTCCTGTGACAGAAGTTCAGGCAAGCACTCAAGTCAGGCCAGATGTCACTGTCACATCTTCCCACCAAAAGGCAGCTGCAGAGCCCCCTCCCTGGGAGACAGCAATACCAGCAGAGTTTACCATGCTGCAGAAGAGCTGATTTCCTGGTAGTCCAGTGGGGAAAAAAGGGTAGCTATTTTGAGAGAAATCAGGGAAACAGAAAAGCATTCATTTAAGAGTTGAAGAATAACAAAAGGGAGTAGCAGGAATGTTGAAGTCAGTAGGGGAATAGGATTCCCTGACTGATCAATGTCCCCTCCTTCCTGGCTAGGTTTCATGATAGCAGAAGGGATCATTACCGTTAGTCTGAGCAGCTGGAAAATCTCCAGGGAAATGCAGGAAGGAGAGAACGGGAGTGAACAACAGTTCTTGCCTGGCTAATAGAAAGTGAGGCTCAGTTATTAAGTCACATGCTACTTTTTTATCAGGCTGTGAGAAGGGAAGCTTAGGATATGCTAATCAAATAGAAACCAAGTAGTGTGACAGGTTCAGGAATTTGTCTGAGAAAAATATGTCTTTTGAGACTTGTGAAATATCATCAGTCCAAAGGATGTTATCCTACACATAAAAAAAACAAATGGTATGTGATAGGTTTTCCTATACAAACACCTTTGAACAATGAGCTTGACCCTATCCAGAAAAACCTGGGTTTTTAGTTGGCCCAGTTAGCAAAGAAGTCATCTAAGGGGAAACCTTATTCAGATAGCCATATAGTAATTTTAAAAAGTGGGCTACAGCCCACAGCTTTATAAGAGCATGAAATGCTTACCAGCTCTTTTAGAGAGGTACCAGTAGGAGAAACAGAACAATGAAGGTCAAGAGGGGAGGAAAGCAGAAAATTATTTTGCACCCTGAGAGAATTCAGAAGACTATTAGCACACAAAACAAGAATCCAGTTACAGCTTAGTTCTAAAACATTTATAGAGTTTGTGTGTGGGAGTTTCACCTTGGTCTGCTTTTCCCAGTATAGAAGGGGATTGTACATCTATTTTGCTTCCAGCAGGCCTGCTGAAGTTTAGTTGTAACACTCCGCTGTGCATAATGTTTAATTTTCTCCTATACAAGCAATGTTTTAGCTGCCCCTTAGCCACTAAGATCAAGTTCACAATCCTCTTCAGCCTAGTCTGGCAGCTGAAGCTACCTAGGCTTCATCTGACAGGCTGTGTATTGCCTTTAAAATTTGCTAATAAGGGTGACATAGGGGCATATTTTTAAGCATATCAGTCACCATTTAGAAATAATTCACTATCTGTACAGGCATATTAGGAAAAAGATTCTTATTCAGAAAAGCTGATTGCATTTCTCTAAACCACAACTATTAAAGCAGTGTGTTGTATGATTCCAGCACTCAATTTGTCCTGACAGAGAGAGGGGAAAATTATACCACACGAGAGCCTAGCCAATTAAAATGGGTGTGTCCTGAAAATTTTAGAGGGAACTAGTTTCTAAAATATTTACTAATTACATTAATTACATCCTCTTTCTGTACAGGAAGTATCAAAATAATTATATGGGGAGGGGAGGAGGAAGAAAGGGTGTTAAGCTAGCCCATTAACAGACCATTAACTTCTTCCTTTTGCTCCTGTGAAACCTATTCCCCATACAGGTTAAAGATGCAAAATGGAAAAAAAATTACACTAAATAAACTTAATTCCACATTCATGGACAAAGCACTCACCCGAAGTCTCCAAAATCATTGGAGCTCATGGAACCATCTATTTTGCCATGGTATTGCCCTGGAAATGAGTCTAGTATTCCTGATGGTAATGCAGCTTACATGTTACCCAGCCCTGGCACCACCTTCCTCTGTATATTAGGAGTATATTAAAAGCACTTATCACTTTTTGACAACTCAGGATAGTAAATGAAACAGCAATATACTGGCTGCTGTAATACCATATAGTTCCATGCTCAACCAGTAGCTCAAACTTCTGATAGATGTGAAATACTCCTCAGTGGGACAGTGTGTCATGCAGTGACAACAAAAGATGAAAGATTTAGGGGTTCCCCCCCCTCCCCCATTATTAAAGAAATTACTCCCTGCCTTTTTCTATGTATGAGTACTTTGCAGAGTGACTTATTAGGAGAATTTAATGGAAAAACTGAACTAAAGGGATGTTGAAAAAAAAGACAAACAAAAATCATTTTATCAAAGTTATAGGAGTTATGACATAAGGTTTGGACTTTATTCCAGATTTTGGGAATTTGAAACTGGGCTGCCTTTTTTGTCCTGATGAAATTATTGTAGCAGATGAGGCAACACATCTCTAGACAGAAAGCCAAGGCCTCTAGAGACTCTAGCTCGAGTCAAAGGTTGCCCTTACAAGGTAATTGATTGCTAATCTGTGACTGGATACCTGCTTAGAATAACAATGACATTGGTCTTAAGAGCAGCAGTCCTTTGTATGGACACAGGCAATTTAATATTGGAAAATAAAAGGCTGATGTTGTATTTTGCAGCACAATGACACCAAATTAGAATTCTAGCAGAAAAGGCTTACAGGTTGACCAACTCTTCTGAGTTAGGACACATTAATTCTCAAGTGAAATATGAGTACCTAGCATGAAGGCACAAAGATTAGTCTTACACTAATATGAATTTAGTTTTTTTCTTTTTGCTACTAAGTCTCATAAAAAGGGCAGATTTCAGGAAAGTAGAAGAAGTGCTTAGAGGACTGATTGTTTCATAAATGCTCCTAGTGGAATAGTATAGGATCATGTAAGTCTGCTCTATGCTCTTGCATTTCTGATCTTGCCAGGAGGATATAATAATATGAGGCATTCTTGAACCACATCAGTTTTGCTGTGTCTTGTGGCTTCTTCCAGATTCAGGTCAGGAAGATTTCGGACTGAAAGAGACTGAACCTGGACAGTTCAGGGCTTGCTCCATCTCCTGGATTTGGTCTCGCAGATACTGAATTTCTAGCTGTTGCATTTCTATGATTTTTTCCCTTTCCAGCTCTGGATTCAACCTCAGGACAGCTGGGCCGGACAGAAGTTCACTGGAGGGAGCTAGAAGATAAAATAGAGAGGACATTGTGCAGTAACAAAGGTCCAGCTAATACAGTTCTTTGGCATGGACAAAGGAAAGCATCTTTCAGGGTTGAAGGAGTACATCTAAATAGTAAGAATCTGCAGAATTTAGCAGATTCTACAATTAACATTAAAATTAACAGGTACCACCAGGCAGACAAGCTAGAATGAAACACACAAACAGTAATAGAATTGTTCACCAAGGACAAAAAGAGATTCTGTCATGAGTACTGACAATATGGAAAATACACAATAACTATTCACCTGTGTCTTGAATTGACTTTTTGTTCTTGTTTAATCTCAGTGCTGACTGGAGGTCGTGCACCTGCGCGTTGGCCACCCTCAGTTCTTGCCTCAAGTCATTAATTTCCTTAATCAGACTCATATTTTCCTACAAAAACAACATGCTCTATAAGGAAAGGCACAGGTACTATCTGGCTGAGCAATATGTATCTTCATATCTTTGAGAAAGGCACTGGAAAGTTTAGAATCAGTATCACAAGCACAGGCAATCAGGAGAGTACACAACATTTCAGGAAAGATCACATTAGATGTGACTCAGAACATGACAGTATTCAAACCACATTAGCTCAAAAAACTAATATTTGTTTTGCCTTTCTGATTGCAGCCACACTCCAAGGTATCATGTTCCTTGCCAATTCCAAAAGGAAGCTCAGGGCTTTCCTAAGTGGATCAAATTAATTCAGAATTAATGCAAAGAATTCCCATCTCTCCCTCCGTGTGTATTATTTTGCTTTTCATTTGTCACTGTGTATTTGTTCACTTAAATTATCTTTATCTCCTTGGAATTATTCAAATCCCTCTTCATTAATTCTGACAGACATTACTTTTCCACACTCTTTCCAAATTATTGGGAAATATATGAAGCATGTGGATACTTGAGGTACGTACTGCTAACATGCTGTTATAAGGAAAAGTTAGCAATGTATTCATATTTTGTTCCTTTTTTTTTTTTTTTCTTAGTCTGTTTTCAGTCTATAAAAGTTCAATCCTCTAACTTTTTAGTAGCCTACCATGAAGCATCTTCCTGAAGGAGCTGTGAAAGTGCCAGTGAATGTAATTTGCCCATTGTTGCAACAGATTTAAAGACTTCAGCAAAACCAGTATGGGTTAATACTATTTAAGGATGATAACACTGCTGCTCATGATTTAGAAACAGGAGCACCATTAACTAAATATTTATTTTCTGTATTCAAGAGAGTGAAGTGGAATTGTATATTTGCCTCTTACAAGGACAGTGAAATACCTTACCACATCAATAACTAGGGCAAATGTTAAATGGCTCCCATCATACTTGAACCAAGAACAGCAACTATTTCAGCTACCTGTGGTGTGTTTTTTAGAACTTTTGGAACACACTGGCAATATTTTAAAAAGATAGATGTCCAAAAGGCATGTTTAGGGTATCTCACAATACCAGTCTCAAGCAGTAGGGAACCCACTAAAACAACAGGAGATAAGAACAAGGATGAATGAAATTTTCCCATTAAAATAGTGTCTTCAAATCTTGTTTTCTACTTTTGTTTTAATGATAATTTCGGTTGATAGAGATAATTATGTTGCCACAAAAGATTGTGCAAAGCATACAACTCAGTTCCTTTGAGTATACTTATAAAAGTGTTAGCACCACACAGCTGCAGGCTGGTCAGAAGTGAAGTACAAAGCTCACTGCACCTCTCAGTATGTGGCTGCACTCAAAGAGTTCAAGTTGGCAGCAATAGCTCAGGGCATGTGTGTGGAAGGATTATCAAGACTTCACACTAAGTGCAGCAGCTGTGCTTTAGTTTCTCCTCAGCTGAAAGTCACTGACTGGAGGAAGAGTGTGGGATTCATTAGGATCTGAACTTGTTGGGCAAGAAGAGTCACTCTTGCAGTGGTTATGTTGGGCTATAAATGCAGCAGGAGTTGGTGTGCTCAGGCAGCTCTGTAACTGTAATATTTTCTTGTGTCTCACTTGTCTAGTGCAAACCTTTAAATACAGATGAAATTTGTCTCTATGCATTTATTCCAGAGCTTGATCCTGAAAGAACACATGAAGAGAGTAACTTCCAATAACCAGTCAAAGTAATTTTCTTTTGACCAGCTCTCAGGGTTGGGTCATAGCATTTGCCTGTAGGTGTACTTTAGTCAGGAGCACCTTCATATGTTCAGTCCAAAAGATTACCTGCTGCTGTCAAATGAAGATCTTGCTTTTGGTCTATCAGAAAATATAATACAGAGTATCTTGTCTGAAGCAATCTGGTCTATGTAGAAATGTCTTATTTGGTTTGCTTGGTGCTAAAAGACTGTTGGTTGACACTGATAATATTTTCCTGAAGAGGCCTTCTCTCCAGAGAGATTAGCCTTTAATTCAATATTTGCATTCTGACAGAATGCTTGCACTGCAATGCAACATCACAGAATGGATATATAAAATAAATGGTCATGGGAAAGCTCATTGTCACGGGATGTGGCAAAGAACCAATTGTTTCAGAGAAGAGACTGATCAAATGCATGGATAATGAAGCCATCAGGTACAATGTCATATGGATGCAATCTACAGTCTACGAAGTCCCTACAGTGCTGATTGTCAGAGACAGAAAGGACATAGAGAAAATTTCATCCTATATGGGCTTCAACTACTTCTAGGTTATTCAGTGTCTCTGTTTTTATGTATCCAAAGAAGCCATTACATATACAGAAGGCTGGAGGAAAAACTAATAGCTGAATAACAGGCAACTTGTCAACTGGTAAGAATAACTAAAATTATCTTGACAGTTCTAATCATCTGTTGCAGCAGTGTACCTATGAGTAATCTCTCAAAGAGGAGGGCATAACTCTGAAAATGTAAGCACAACTCAAGAATAATAGGAATACAGAGCTAGAAGACTGTCAAGATGTCATTTATTTTTTCAAAGCAAATCCTCACAGAAGTTTGTCTAAACTAGTCTTAAAAGCCCCTGTGAAAGACTGGAAGGCCATGATAATTCCTGCTGGTTGTAAAACCTCATTAATCTACTGGACTTCAGAGAACTGCTTTTTCTTTGAAGGAACCAGGCTGGTTAGAATCTTTGATATCTTCATCTTCCAGATGTTTTATTAATTTGGTTTTAATCATCATTTCATGTTAGGCTTACTGATCCAAGACATCATCAAGTATTATCATTATGAACACCATCTGTTACCCTGTTCCAGTAAGGAAATTCTTGGGGTTATTTTCTGAACCCATCTCATTTTGTGCCAAAGGAAACATCTAACTCACAGAAAGAGTAAAAAAAAAAAAAAAAAAAAAAAAATTAAAATAGCATCAGGGAAGAAGATTGCTGCTGTCTAGCCCTGAAGAAGCAAATTATGAATAAATAGCAAACAACAGATGACTTAGGAGGAGATGAGATTTAATGATCCTGAGGAAGCATAATAAAGTAACAATGTAGAAAGGGCTACTGAGGGGAAAAGGAAATGCTGACTGAGCAGAAGGAGAGCGTGTTAAGAAGAGACTAGAAAAGCTGTCCTCCTAAGATGTCTGGTGTGGAGCTCTAGGTCCTCCCACTCCAGATAAAAACAAATTGGATCTTTGACCCCAGCAGTCACCAGTTTACTTTGCCTTGTAAGAAAAAAGGATTCTCAGCAAAAGATCTTACTACAAATAGACAAATTCTCCATGTATTTCTGAACTTCCTTGGAAATTTTGGATGTGAAAAGCAGGAAGTTCTTCTGAATTCACACCAGTAGGCATGGGACTGTATGGACAAAGAAAGATTTTTTTTTCCTTTTCTTTCTCCAAAATTACTTTATAAACATTACTACATAGCAGATACAGCTTGACACCCGAACAAGGGCAAATTAACTATGATGGCATTTATAAATACTGTTTAAAATAAAAAATAGGCACATTATTTTCTTGCAAATCCTTGCAAACAGAAGTTCCCCATCTCCTTTCAGGGAATGGGAAATAAACAAAAGCCATTTCTGACTTCTGAGATCTTGCTCTTTTTGTTCAAAATAGTTACTGGAAACACTTGAAAAATGTAGGAATTTCTGGCAAGAAAGCCAACCAAAACTATTTCAAAGTCCTAAGAAACCATAACAGAAATGTTAATAAAGTCTCTTTTGTGCAGCCACTTCCTTTGTTCCCACTCCATACCACAAGGAAAAGGCTTATTACCTGCATGATACGCATGTAAGCAGTGTGGTGCATTTCCTTATCCTTCATACCCTTCTTCCTTAAAACTGCCAAATTCCTCTCATTATACTCTTGCTGTTTCTTGTACTGCTGCTGCAAATCTGCATCTTCTGCTTGAGCCTCCACCTGAGAGGGCACAGCATGTTGCCTCAGTTATTCCACTACTAGACAAAATCATGGGCAAGGAGAAGGCAAAGGTCCTGACTCACCATGCCTGGCTGATGCACATACTTGGTGTAGAGTTCATGGATACCAGCTTTCATTTTTTTGGAATCGTTAATGAATCTCACACAATTAAGAAGATCTGCCTTAAATCGTTTGATGAGGGTTTCCATATTTTGTTTCTGCAAGAATGATGTAGTCACATTCTTATTTGGTTCATTAGAACACTCCATCATGCAATTCTCTAGAAAGTCTAGTGGAACTGGTGAAAACTCTCATATACTTTCTTCCACTTCATTAAAACAAAATTAATTAACAACTAACAGGGAATGTGAGCACTACGTGTTGAACAGCTGTCATAGATTTTAGGAATAATAATAAACCAAGATACTTTTATTAGGTAATATCAGTGACAACCTGCAAAGATGACAACTTAAAAACAGTGGCTCATTATGCTATTGCTCACTGTCTTTTCCCAAACACAGAATCACAGAATATGCTAAGTTGGAAGAGACCCACCAGGATCATTGAGTCCAACTCAGCCCTGCACAGGACATTCCCAGGAGCCACATCATGTGCCTGAGAGCATTGTCCAAGTGCTGTCCTACCTTCTTGTTTAGAAACAACACACCAACAGTTAAGGAGAGAAGGCAAGGGGCAAATCATATCAGACACATGCACAGCTTGCTGATTTCACATCAAGACTGCCTTCTCATTCTCTCTTGGTTTCTGCAAGGCCTCTCTACCTGCTTCCTCACTCATGCACTGCCTGCTACGCCCCTCCACCTTCACCTGCAGTCCCTTTTCCTCCCTCATGTCTGATACGCTGTCAAACAAGAGGACCTTGACTCCTCCATTAATGAGACCTTCCTCTCTGTCATCCTGCTAATGTAGGTGGTATCCTACATGCTGCTCCTGTTTAGGCCAAGTGTCCCCACATTTCAGACTTGGGCAGGAACAAGTAGTTCAGCATTCACCTCACTGTTCTCTTAAATTGTCTCTTCAGGACAGTATGTGTTGACTCATAATAACTGGATTTTTTTTTTTTTTTTAAATTTGAAAGCTCTAAGTTGGTTGCAGGCTTGGAAGTTTTGTGTCTTTGTCCCCACTGACCAGAGACTCTCTTGGTCCTTGGACACAGCACCCCTGAAGGAACTGTTTGCTCAGATTAATGCTTCACCAATGTTCTGTCCCCACCAATGTCATTCTGTAGGATCTGCATGGTGGGAGTATCCCATACCTTTTCCATCTCTCTGTGCACCTCACCAGCAGTTGCCTTCTGTTTCTGTTGCAGTTGTGTGATGGTCAGCTTCAGCCCTACGCTCTCCTTGCGGAATTGTTCCAGCTGCTCCTCCATCTGAAAGGAAGCAGGAGGAGGAAATCAGGGCTAAAAGGAGATGTGAAAAAAACAACACATAACAGGAAAACCAGAGGCTGGAAATACAGTCTTGAGGGAATAGGTCCCCCTTCAGGTCGAATGACAACATGAGAAACGTCAATTTTGTAACAAGACTGCCCTCTGGCAGAATATACAGAAACCACACAAATGAATGTGCAACTCCCTGTTGAGTCACATTAATTTAAATTATGTGATACCCTCTAAATTCATTGAGCTGAGCGGGAGCTCTACCGTTCCACCTGAATAAAAATGGATGAGGGGGAAACAGACAGTCAATACTGGAAAGAGTAAGGGCAACAATAACTAGGCCTTGATATTGAAAAGAAACAAACGGATTGAAAACTGTGGGTACATTTGCAGAAAACACAGGGAAAAACAATAAGGGTACTACAGGCTTTACTTATGGCACAAGATGGTGACCAGAAAAGACAACAGAGATTTAATCTTGCTAGTCTGAAATACATACAAATTGTTCATTAGTTTGCATTTTATTTAAAAGACTATGTCACCATAGTCCTAGTTTGGTTGAGCTAAGGACATATCTATGCAGAAACCATAGTAAGCTTCTATCATAAATAAGTCCCTCAAAGAATTTGCTACATGCTAACTATAAATATGTTCAAATTTCCCATTTATCAACTGATGAATATAATTTGTCATGTATCTAACCCCTAGCAGAGTTATATTTGCATATATCTGCAACATTTCTGAGAGAAGAAATTTACTGTCTTCTGCCAGATCAGTAAAAGCTGTGTCTTGCAAATGCTATAGGGCACATGGAGGGCAACCACATAAGGATAAGATCTATTTTTAAGCAAAATTTAGGATTACATACAGGAACTTAAATAGCTATGTTGATCACTGGTAGTATGTGATAGAAAATTAAATACCTATTGTCTATCTATATTTTTATTAGCTGCACAGATATTGAATCAGTGCTATGAATGCTTGAAAGAAGTCAAGGAACAACCAGGGTGAACTTTCATGGACTTGTTGGGCCATATTTGTATTTAGACATGGCCACATGAGAATGTTACTCACCTCACTGATCTGTTTCTTCATTGTCTCAATATCATTTTCACGTGACTCTATTTGCTTCTTAAACTCCTCTATTCTGTAACTCAGTACAAACTTGAAATTTTCCAGTTCCTGATTTTTCATTTTTAGATCATATACATGCTTTTCCTGGAAGAAATGGGTAGAGAGATCTGAATCAGATCTAGCACTCTCACATAGATCCCTAGGACAAGACACAAATATGGAAGAGACAAAACCAGCAGTCACAGATCTTGCGGAAAACTGAACTGTTAGATGGGAAGGGGCAAAAAATGCTGATTTGTCTACAGATCCCAGAACAGGGGATGAGAAAGTCAACATCCTGAACTTGAGCTCCCCAAGAAAAGCTTAGAATGCCAAGCAAAAACCAAAATCCCAAACTGGAGATCACAAATTCCTTAAGTTGAAAGCGAGTATCTAGTCATGGGATATTATCACAACATATACTATTAAAATAAATGTCTCTATTTAATTAAGGGAAGTGATTTTTACCTCATCCAATTGTCCACTTTCTCACCTTCTCTAGAATAGTTTCAGTTCTCTCTTTAACATCTGTCTTTAGTACCAAGATGTCCTTTTCCAGTGATTTAATGATGTCTTGCAGCTTCTGCTGTTCCAGTCTCATTTCCTCAATATCCCTGTTTCGGTCCTTGAGCTCTTTCTGCAGGCTGTTCAACTAGAGAGGCAAACTAGTAAGAACTTAACAGTCTTCAAAAGCTTGGTCCTCCTATTCTGTAGGATACCTTGTAGACAGTGTGGGATAAAGGATATCAAATTAAGATACGATGAAGGAGCAGCACATCAGTTGAATGCCTCTAACTCAAAAGGGGGTTGAGTATCCATTTTTGCTTTTTCTGTATATTCTGACAAGGATACCTGCTGCACTAGAAGGAAGGAAGGAAGGAAATTGCATCCAGCAGGAAGAAGAGTATGGATATTATACGTAAGCATCAGCTGCAGCTAACACTCAATCCATGGAATATTCTCATAAGGTGAAGGCAATACATCTCTAAAAATGCAAGACTGGAAGGGTGCCCAGTTCATAGCTCTTGGGTACCCTTAAAATCCGTGCCTCAGTACTAAGATCTGCAAAATCAAGGAAGCTGGAACCAATGAATGGCGCTGGACAAACTGTAAGGACACATGAAGACATTCCTGAGGTCTAAAAGACAAACTAAAGACAGTACCATGATAGCAGAGGGCTTGAAAATAACCTCTCTGTCTCCAGATAGATACTGGAGAAAATGAAAAAGAAAAAATGCCTCTATAACATTCTTAGGCAAATGTAATACCCAGAAAATAAAAGAGGTAAAATATTTTATGTCTCCTTAAAACTCCCATTAAAGCCAACAAAAAATGATGATGCAAACAAAACACAGGGATAATTGCATCTAATGAAGCAGTAGAGGTATTTAACTAATAAAGCAAAGTATTAAATGATAGAAAAATTAAAAGTTCATTTCTTTCCTGTCATAGGATGAACAATATTATTTATAGTTTAAAACTATGTAGATCAGAGAAAGTGTACTAATAAAAACATACCTCCTTTATCATCTATCTCTAATTATATCAGCAATGCAATCAGCAGACAGCTTCTTCTTCTGCCCAAATACTCTAAACATTCAAAGTAACCTAAGATCAGGCTATTGTTCTCATATGAAATGACACATATTTACAGACTAGATTAACGGACTAAAATGACATGCCATTAATCACATTCAATCCTCACTTATAGGTCTTCTTGTGCAGGTCTGATACTAGCACAGAATAAAAGATACCCTTTTATTCATGACTCCTATTTCTCCTTTCAGTTGCATGTTGGACTCCTTTTCTTCCAAGAGCTGTTTCTCATACTTGTCTTTGAGTTCTAAGATTTCTTTGTCTCCATCTTCATAAATTTGTTTCTCCATTTCTTCATGTGCTTCAATCTGCTTCCTTATACTCTCCTTTGCCTGCAGTTAAGGAAAACAAACATGAGAGAAGGCAAGTGTAAGAGACCAATAAAGGAGAGAAATAAAAGGTTATTTGTAACTGTGTTTCTCCTGGGAGAATCTATGTTTAGTGGAACATTCAATTGCAGCAGTATCATCTAAGATACCTTTTCAGTGGATTAAACTAACTTTAGAAATTGATAACATACACATTGCAGTTCTTTTTTTTTTCTAATAATTCTTAAGACTTGAAAGCCTCAAGTTAGGAATCTGGCCCAAATACTAACATCAGCAAATTTGTTAGGGCTGTAGAAATCACAAACCAGTATCACTTAGGATCTTTTAAAATTGCTGTTTCTAATGCAATTAAAATTGCTGTTTCTTCCAGGCTGTGTGCAAATCAGGTTTCCTACCTCTTCCAGCAGAACAGATTTATGTTTAAGTTTTTTCTCATAATGTTCTTTTAGCTCTGCCACAGCCCTGATTTTGCTTTCCTCCAACTTGTGCAATTGTTTCTCATATTCCTCCTCCATCTTCTGAGATTTCACCTGAAGCTCCTGGTATTTCTCATTTTCCATTGAGAGTTTCTGACTACTGTCAGATTCTGTTAACAGGAAACATGGAATGGATAAAATTAATAGAAAAGAGGAGTGAATCCTATCCTTCTGCAGCTATCACTGCCTTATTATTTACTGTCTTTTTGGCAGCTGGTTGCAATAAATTACAAGTAGAAGTATTTAATCACTTTCTTCATCAGTTATACAGGGGTTTTAGACTCTGTAGCTATGCAAAATTGACAACTAATTTAGGCATTTCCTTGGGATGACCACCATGGCAGAGCTGTATGAGCTCAACTGCTAAAAAGTATGAGTAGGCAATGCAGTTATTTATGGAGGGACTCCTTGGTACTAATTTGCAGTATTTTTATCTTGATTACAAATTTGGAGTCCAGGTATTTCCAGGCTGTACCTCCTTGCTGAATGGAATGACTACACTGTTATTGCACAGTCAGCTGTGCATAAAATAAATGAAGACATTACTAATGTCAAGAACCTCTAAGATACAAGGTCCATGTGCATGTTCTCATCATGGGCACGTGCATGGTGAAGTTTAGACAACCATTTGGTCTGCACCAAATACCTACATGACATACATCCATTTTTCTTTATACTTCTGCTCTAGTAATCCCTCCCTGTCACATCATTTGCTATCAATACAGCATTTTCTTCAGTTTCTATTTACAAACATTTCTTATAGTCTAACCTAGCCGTTGCACCTCCCTGGCCTGTTTATCCATCAGCTCAGACAGTTGAACCTCGTATTGTAGCTGCTGTTTTTCTTTCTCTTCCTGTAAAATCTGTGGGAAGAAAAGAAAAGAAAAATACATTTTAATTTGAAACTAGACAAAGCAATGTCCGAAGTGTTTGTGCTCTTGCCCCTGGTGAGGAATACATACATGACAGAAATATGTTTGAAAGCTCATCAAAACTGAGGTGGCATGTGTCACTAAAACAAGTTTTCCTACATATTAGTTTGTTTTGACAAGTTAAGCTAAGGAAAAGCAGCAAACAGTGTTTATATAATACAAGGTACTGATCTTAATCTAAAAAGTAAAGTTTGTGAGCTACAAAAGCCTCCACTCCTTTATGTATGCCTGCCTGAGGAGAATTTGCAGTTCCATAAATTATTGTCCAGATATTAAAGTTCAAGCTGCTTCCTGTCTCACTTGAAGCAATTTTGAGGTCTTAAAATGCTGACATTTGCATAGTATGACATAAACCTATGCAAGAGTGAATTTTAAATGCCATTCACTTGAAATGTCAGCCTACCACTATAAATTACTTAATCTTCTAAAAAACCACAAAGAACTGGAGCAAGAAAACAGCTGAGAAATTTCACAGAGATGCTAGGAATTGTACCATAGTTATATTATTTTCACCTTCTTATTGCAACAACTGCATGGGTCTTGCATAAGCAGAAATATTCAATTTGTCTGATGGATACAACTAGAAAGTTTAGCCCTTTCAGTCTGAAGTTGTTATTCAGTTTAATCTTAACATGTACTGATACTTGGACAGGAAGTCCAACTTGCCTGCCTAGAGAATTATATTCATCTTCAAAGGCATTTGTTTGTAAGGCTATAATCAACAACTCTAAATAATTTTCAGTGTAGCTGAGATTATTATACATCTATAGCCAAGCACTACTTATCAAAAGACCTGAAGAACCACAGAAAAAAAACAGCAGAGATAAAAAAGAGGTATAGGAATCCACAAGAAATTAAATGGCTTTCTTGTACAAGGTTAGGTTCTACAAAAGAGAGGAAAAATAGAAAGGTTAAAACTCAGCTTATTTAGACAAAAAAGCCCACAATGAGACAAGCCAAAGAATCTGAAAAAATACTTGAAGAAAACATTAAAATGAATAATTAAACCTCCTCAAAAAATGAATATCAAAAACCTACTGGAACAATTGTAGGGCCAAAAAGAGCACTTGAAAATTACAAACCTGTAAAATATTACAACTAGTAAGTCACTTGGCAAGCTTTCATACCGAACTCCTTTATGTGGAGTCAAACAGAAATACTGCTTGAAGGGACTATGCACAACTTGACAAAATAAGCAGTAACAAATCACCAGAACAGGACAATATTCACCCAAAAGCTCAAAAAGAACATGAGGTTGACAGGATTGAATCATGTGATATATAATCCCTTACTTTTGAGCTGTTTTACTGCCAGAGAAATTACTACTGAATCCCTTGCCTTCTACATCTAAAAGAATTCCAGAAATATAACAAATTACAGGTCAGAAACGCAGTGTGTGCACCAAACAAATGGACAGAATAGCATTATCAGACACAGATAAATAGGACACTGGGAAGAATTATCATAGCCTTTGCTTTTCAGGGGAGCCCTGCTTCATAACCACAAAGAAATCAATAAGCACACAAACAGGAGACATGCAGGGAATATATTTTACCTTTACTTTCAAAAAAACATACAAGAAACCTCAGCAGATGTTCTTAAAAATCTAAGTAGACAGGACATAAAGAAGGCAGCATGAAGGAGAATAATTGTTAGATTCTGCAGTAGCTGCAGCCTTATATGGAAAGGAGTTTTTAGGGGACAGTGCCATTTCTACTACTGATCCTCAGGCTCAGGCAGCATTTATTGTGCTGGTTTTATGTGAAGATACTTACAGGCTACCTAGGAGAGCTCTTGCATTCCCTTGTACTATAAGATACTTGACACAAAGATAGTTTCATGCTTTATAAATATCAAGAACATCTTAAACTGGAAAGGAATGATTTTAGATGCTGTATGGCGTTTCTACATATGTAATGCAAGCTTGAATTCAACTCTTCAGTGAACGATTTCTTAGTATTTGGTTCTGCAACATGAATCATACCTGGTGCTTAGTTTTAAGGGAGTCTATTTCCTGAGCGAAATTATCTTCCAATGCTTTAATTTTTCCTTCACAGTACATGTCCTTGAGACGTAGCTCGTAATCACTTTCTGTCTTTAGATCTCTCACACAAATCTGCAGGTCTAGTATTGCCTGACTCTGTTAGGACACGGATGAGAAAACAGTTTTAAGAGAGAGCATATTTGCTGTTAACAACAGCTTGTTAAGGATGTTTTATTTACATGCACATATTTATGAAAACAGCCTTTACAGAGAATCGTCAGACAGACAACCAAGAACTTCTAGAAGTAAAGTTTCTTTGCTCAGAAGATAGCTTATAGAAATTCATCTTCTGACTTCTCTACTCCATTAGAAGTGTTTTCAAGAGATTGGGGAAAGTATTAAGAGAAAAATCTAATCCACAGTTGCTGTTTGTACAATGCTGTGTGCATACTGACAAGCCACTGCAGCAACTTTCTGTAACCTCTTTGACCAAAGCCATATAGGACTGGCTGGTAACAAGCATTATGCAAATGCAATTCACAGAAATCCTGTGGTTTATGTTCACAAAGTGCTCCTCCTACCTTCTCGTCTATATCTGATCTCATGATCAACACTTCGTCAGCATACTCAAGTTCCTGCTCTCCTTTAACTCCCCCACCTTCTTTATTATACACTTTCCAGATAAATACACAGCCATCCTCTGAGGCAGTCAGTAGAAATTGGTCATCACTTGTTATTGTCATCTTAGAAGGAAGAGACAATAAAATAATAGATGAAACATGGAAGAATGGAGACACAGTTTTATTTTACACCACATTTTTCTCTCCACCCCCATACTCTCTTCATTTCTACCCCAGAAAGTCAACTGTGGAAATAATAACACAGTCCCACTAACAACATTTTGATTATGTCTCCTACTCCTGTTCCACTCCGATTGAAAAAAAAAAGGGAAGGAAAAGGATATATGTAGATACTGGATCTGCTTCTGGTCTCAAAGCCATAGGAGGATTTTTAAAAACCTGAAGCAGAAAAGACCTTCTAGACAATTATAGCAAAGACAGGCAATTTATATGACAATTCCAAAGGACTCTAGTGTTTTTCTTTGGGAAGTTGCATGAGCAACAGATGGCTAAATGTTTTCTTTTGAAGGTACAACTAAGCTCAGCAAGAACTATGTAGTAGTAACTGCTGTCACCTCCTCCAGACCTCCTGTGGCTGCCTGATCTGGCATAGAGTACCTGGGAGCTGATACAGATTACAGTTGAGGTGAAAGTAGAGTTACAGTAATTGAAGTTCGTATTCTAATGCTGGACTGTGCAAGGATAAGTCAAGGTGCTGTAGTTGACAGTGGTACTTAAAATACCAAAATTATGACCAGTTTTAACAACATAGAACATGTGGCTTCCTGGAGAATAGGGACCTACCAAAGCATACTGAGGGAGCAGGCAGAAGTGCTCAGTGAGCCATTTCAGTCATTTGGCAGCAGTACTGGCTCACTAGAGAAGTCTCAGCTGTCTGGAAATGGGCGAATGTGATGCCCCTCTACAAGAGAAAGTGGTGCAGGAACCATCCCTGGAGATATTTAAGAGATGTGTAGATGTGGTGCTTGAGGACATGGTTTACTGTAGACTTGGCAGTGGTGGGTTAACAGTTGCACTTCATGCCTAAAAGCTCTTTTCCAACCTAAAAGATTCTATGACAAAATTACCTTTCTCTTTCCAAAAGGAGCTGTATCAAAGTTCTCAATCCAATATGCCCTGTTTTGTAATCTGGAGCAAGCCACTTTTTAGTCAACAGCTTATTCCCTGGCACATCTAGAGACAGGACTCCTGTGAATGCTTTGATATTCATTCTCCATGTGCAGACTCAGCCTTAATTTTAACATATGCTATGAATTGAGAAGGAGAAACAGCCCTAAAGGAGCTGTGTGCAGCTGGCACCACAGGGAAAAGAAAGAACTCTGTGCTACCTTTGTGACAGCACCTGCATGGGCCTGGTACTCGCTGAAATCCTTCTTCAGAGTTAATGGGTACTTCATAGCTCGAATTGTCCCCAGGGAGGTGCCAACAAATATCACACGCCCGGAACGAGAGACAGCGACAGTCGTATAAACAACGTCGTAGGCAGGCACCTCATGCTGGATCTACAACACAAACCAACAGCACAAACCACCACACAAACCTCGTACAGTAACTATTCAATCATGCACTGCATGAGCAATAGTTATACCTCTGCCTGCAGCACATAATACAGTTAAAAGAATCTATATATCTATAGAAATATAGCCCCAACAGGAGATAGTATTAAGTTTTTTAAAAAAACCTCGATTTAAAAGAAATATTTAGATATAAATCTCTTTATTTGTTATAGTAACCAGTATTAAAATTTCAAGCCAAGCTGATGTATGAGCTAGAAGATCTAATGGTTATCACTTACAATTTACTATTTTTCTGGAAAAAAATGCATGTAGATACAGTGGTAGATGTGATACACTTGCATTTCAGCAGAACAGTTGATAAAATATTGCCTAGTTAATATGTTAGCTGGATTAGAAGATTTCTAGGTAAATGCAAGTAAAATTACTAAAATAAAACTATGACAAAATTTCAGATTTCATTGTAAAGGACATAAGAACACAAAAGTATCAGTAAATAAAACAGCTCTCAAAACCAGACTGATTCCTGTTTACCAAATGGATGCTAAGGAAAGCAAAGCACCAGTAACCTCCCTAGAGAATGTAGCAAAATCCAGGAGTGTTTGTTAGCTCACCGAAGACTCTGAAATTTCTTTGAGAGTTTGGTCAGATCCAACAGCAAAGATAATTTTGGCATCATAAGTCAGGGAAATGCTGCTGTACATGCAGGTCTTGAGCACACACTCTGACTCCTTTTTACCTGTCGACAAATTCCACTCATACACAGCACCATGTGTGTCACAGGAGACAAATTTAGTGTCATCAGCACTCCATTTAATTGCATGCACCTGGCAAAAGCAAGATACACCAAGGAGCTTGATATGTAGATTATAGACACACAGGATAGAGTCATTGTACTGGTAAAGCTACGACAACTTCAGAACCATACTTCAAAGTCTTACTGAAAAACCTCTAGCTATTTCTCAACCAATTCTATTTTAGCATTAAAAAAAACCAAAACCAGTAAGAACTACTTTACGAACACACTATCAGGAAAAAGTTCATTTCAATATGGAGTAGTAGATTTTATTTTTATAATATATTGCTGGGATATTTTATTTTGTTCAGCCAGCTGCCAATCGTTCACCTCCAATTTAAGGGGCAGACTTTTCAGGTGTAACTAGTGCATGAACATTTTGCCTTCTGACCAATGAAAACTGAGTTTTCTATTTCTGTTTTTACTTTTTGGGGCCATTTCAAGATCCAAAATTGTACTTCTTCAAAATGCATTTTGTCAACTAATTAATATGTTAATAAGTTGTACTGTATAAGATTTGTTTACTAACCTCCCCAGTATGTCCTTTCAGATTAGTAACATTCTCAAAGGTGATGCTGGAATAAATTTGAATCACATTTCCATAAACTGCAGCAAAAAGATGGCCTCCATTACTGAATGAGCACTACGAAAAGAACATAACCACTCATTACTGTAGATGGAATGGATAAAAACATTCATGCATTGAATTTCAATTACATCCTTTAATATCAAATTGTTGCATGAAAAGAAAACTCCATGACATAATTATCCACATAGAGTTTCCTTAATCAATGCTTTCCCCTGTAAAATTCAGTTCTGGAGTATTTCTGAGGAAATTATCCCTTCTGCTGCTTCATAGGTACACACTTACACATCAGCCTCTGGGGCTGTTCTCCAATAGTCAGAATAAATTTCTCTAAGCTTTGATATACAACATCCAATATCCTATTAGGATGTATTGGAGAAGTTTTTATTTTCTGTCATGTTCTTCAGCACTCTGTTCCCCGTAACTCCCCAATTTCATTTTCGTACCACTCCTTACCTCTCTACACTTTTTCACAGCAAACTCCTTCAAAACATGCATATCCTCATACAGGAGACTTACAAATCGTAGTTTGTCAGAAAACCCAATCAAACAGAAAAGGCCAGTGGGATGAAGTGATACTGTGTATGCTTCCTCCTGATACTCCTTACACAGCTGCAAAGTACTGAAAGAGAAAACCATTGAGCAGTATGGAACAGGACAAACTCCCCATTGCACACTTGACAGGATATTATCTGGCCCAGCAAGGATGCCTGCAGCTAAAATCAGACTTTGCCTTGTCCTTGAGGAAGTGTGTTGTTATACAGTTAAGTAATGCTCACAGAGATGTTACAGGAAACAAAAAAAAAATTTGACTTTCTGATTCACAGAGAAGGTGTGGAAGGTGCAAGAGCAAATCCTTGTGTACTGTAATATAATGAATTTCAGATTGCAGTCCTACACAAGCATCTCTTGAGACTTGTTTTTCCCTCTAGGGAACCTCAAGAGCTGGAGTCATTTTGCTTAAGATCTATGCCTAAGAAGCGGGATATGTGGCAACAGTATCTTAAAACAAAGCTGCATGAAAGAGTTTTTTCCAAAACACAAGAAGTCTGACACAAAAATAGCTTAATAGAAAAGGCTTTGTATTCTTTTGGCACCAGTTTTAAAGGCACTGCATATTCACACTCCCCAAATCATGTCAGTAATACCATTTACATCCCACACCACACAAGAATTTTACCAGAACAACACTCTCATTCATATGAGATTGCTGCTGTTGCCTCCTAAATACAATATACAAAAAGCAAGAGGTAATAACAAATACAAACAACTCTTTACTTTGTCTTGTAGTTCCAGATGCGGACAGATCTATCCAGGGAACACGTAGCAAGAATGGGTTTCCAAATACACATGTCCAGACCAGTGATTGAATTAGAATGCAATGGGAAATTCATATATGCAAAATATGATATCTTCTCCTGAGACGGAATGAGAACATTAAGAAATCAAAAATATGTCATTACAGGCAGTAAGGCAGATTAAAAAAAAATCTATCATGGGGCTTTGCATACTGTTGTAGAATAGATTTGAGGGAACTACTTAATCCTTTCACTGTACTGGTCTGAACATAACAATGCTAAAAGCCTAACAATATTAGTTTTAAGTTTATAACTAATAATCAAGAAAAGTGATGCAGGGCAGAGCAGGGAGAGCAGAACATAATCGTAGGTATATAAAAAAAGGCAAATTAGAAAAAGAAATAAAACTGGACTTGCAAGAATTCAGTTAGTACCTTCTGGTCAGGCAGATACTTGAAAAAAATCAAGTGCTGAGCAATAGAAAACTTCACTAGGATGTCTAGCTACCACATGCTGGAAGTGAAGCACCAATAAAATTTTAGGCTGCATGTGAAAACAGAACTCCTAACTACAACCCCTGTTCCTGTAAAGATCTTTCCGTATGCCTGTACACAGGTTAGGTACTCAATTCCATAAAAGTCTATTTCATGATAATACATTTTTCACTTATCTTTGTGTTATTTAATTCCTTCAGAGTAGTGAAGGTTTTCACTATGTTTGTATTTCACAGAGAGGTTTCACTTCTAGCTAAGACTTCAATAACTATAATTTTAGAGTAAAAGGAGAATCCCATGGCTGTTCCAGCTTTATCACTGCAATAAAGTTTGTGCATATTACAGTGGATCATGAACCACAGAGTTACATTGAGGATATCTCAGTTAAAGCCTGAGTGAAGTGGTTCAGCAGTAACAGGCACCCTTTAATGGTCTTAAGTGTTCTCTGTCATTCTGCTGAATAGCATCAGGTATTCACAGGGAAGGAGGCTTGAGCAAGAGGCTAAAAAACACTGCCCTCAGAGAAGCACACAGAGCACTTCAGATCTTGAGCTTTAAGAGTTAATTTGAAGTATTTAATGAGAATGCATCACAGAAAACAACACTGACTGGCCTGTATCATTACAATACTGGACATGAAAGCTGTGGAATGAGCTGCACTTACCCTTATAAGTTTGGTGGAGAACATAGTAAACATGTAGAGCTGATTTTTATTTGTGCTAACGACCATTATTTCCTCAGAAGGGCTGAAGCATATACATGTAATGTCCTGTCTGCTTGACTTTTTTGGCTCAGTGCTAAACTGGTCCTGAGGCAGCTGCACAAAAAAGGCATCCCATGGGTTGTGCCAGGTTTCCATGTTTTGGTAGTAGGCATGCACACACACAAACTTTTGTTGTAATGCTCCCCTAATAAGCACATTCATAATATCAGCAAGACAACTTGGATATTTAATAGCACATAACTACTGCAAGGCATGGAATAGAGGACAAGAGAACAACCTAATGGTATTCGTAACATCACAGCTGAAATGAAGTATCAGGGGACACTTCAGCAGTAATGTGAATTACTGCAATAAACAAGAATTAAAATGGTAGTAGAAAAATATCAAGAAAAAAAAAAAACAAGTGTCAGAATGAGAACTGCCTAAAAATTGTGATTAGAATAAGAGCTCTTTGTAATGTATCATTTAGGTAGATAAGTCTTATTACAGGATCTCATGCATAGGGAAGATGTGACCTTTTAGAATGAGAGTATGGAGAGTTAAATGTTCCTATCCAGAGATTTCAGTAGGTCAATGCATACAGTTTGCTATAGAACAGTTAAACAGTTAGAAGGATTACTTAAGTGTGCACAGGTCTCATGACAGCTCTAATAAATACCTGAGGGGAGAAAAGCTCTCCTTGGGAAAAAAATAAGCAGCCAGGTTCTTCAAAACTGATCTAAACTACCTCTGAGTCCCCAAAGTCTCCACAAATAAAAGTTTCTTAAATGTTTCCTAAAGTTTAGCAGCCTCAAAGCACATTTTATATGTGGGAAGGAAAGATACAGAACTACCTTGCAAAAGGTCATCAGGCACTGTCTTTCAGTGTTATCTTTGGCTACTCCTTTCAACATCACCAGGACAGTTAGCTAATCCTTACAATGCAGTTTAGCAGTGTGCTAAAAATTATTATTCATAACTGAATCAGAAACACAGTTCTCTAAACAGGGCTCTGCTGCATAATTGCTTACAAAAGCTTTTTTCCTCCTTACCCAGACTTCTTGCCTCTCCTCGTAGACCTCGTTTTCACCGGTCTTCTCGAACAGAAGAACAACTCCTGGGCTAGGTGAACATGCAAAACCTTTGGAATATGCTGCAACTGCAGATATTTGAGGCAAAGAATGCTGTTGTAAATCATTATCTTCAAAGGCCAGTCCACTAGAAACACCAGAAATGCAATTAGGAAATGCATAAAGACTTAAAAATAAAGAAGCACAAATAAAAAAATGCTAAGCAGCAGCTGACAACATAAACTGGACAGGAAGTAACTAATCTACCTGCAAAAGCATGGAACTATTACTAATAACAGTGAAGAGATTTACCTCTCATATTCTTCTGTTGTATCTTCTTCTTGATTCCTGGGTGTTTTTCTGTACTCCAAACTTTTCTCCCAGTGCAGCTCTCCAGTTTCAAACAAGCTAAGTTTGCCTGTGTCAGTGCCACATATAACTTCCTCCTTAGACAGCCAGGTGTGGCACAAGTAGTTTTCTGGCTGTCCCCTTTGTAAATTCATCTGCTTTAAATATCCTTCACTGTACTTGAAAAGTTTAAAAAAACCATTTCCAGTGATACAAACCTGGGTGTTGTCTTGAGGATTAAAGCTCACCTGTGGAACAAAAAAGAGAGGAAGTATTTTTTCCAGTATTTTCCAGTATTTTCCAGTATTTTTCATAAATAAGCAAAGATTATACCTGTTCTGAAGACTTTCTGTACCAGATACAGGAAAATAAACAAAGGAAGATGGTTAATAGAATATTGGAATACCAAATATTACCAAATGCCAACAGAATACAGGAATACCAAAGAGAGTAAGAATTAGCCACCATAACTACAGACTGCGGTTTTCCCCCTTTGAAAAGTGTGTCTATTAAAGTTAAATTACTAAAGTAAGGCCAAAATACCTCTTTACTACTGATTAACAAATTTTTCCAGTAGCAAGCTTCCTGAAAAGTGGGACCATTTGTTCTCAAAAGGTCAGGAATAAGTTCTGTATACCTGTGTTTCAGGCTAAGAGTATGCACATGAATTCACAGGTGTTGGTTTGTGAAAATTGTGGAATAGCCATCTCAATACTCAACATGAAGGATAGGAAGGGTAGTTTGAAGTAATTTTTTATGTTTAATGGGACTTTACACAGACAGAGTCTTTACACTCCCCTCTCTTTAAGAGTTGAGGTCATGAATTCAGTAGTTCAGCCAACCTCTGCTTGTAGCTGTACCCCAGAAAAAATGTCAGCTGGAGTTCAAACAACACATAGACTGAAACTACCAGACCTCCCTACTACATAAAAGAATCTAAAAAGGAGCACCCAAACTTGGATGCAGAAATCATTTGTGTGCAATCAGCCTGCTCCTAAACACTCTTCCCCTCCACTCTGAACACAGAAAACTGCAGGAAGGAAAAGGTGCACTGAGAGCTTCCAAGAAGTGTGTTACAACTACTGAGCACAGCCCATATATTTAGTGTTTGCTTTTGCAGGGACACAAGGGACACATTGCACACTCACTGGCCTGTTGTACTGGCACTGTAACATAGATCTCATGTGATGTAAGAGAACCTCATGTGATACAACAGATACAGACATGAGAATGTCTATTATGGGTCAGTGCAAAATTTTATTTAGCCTAGTGTCCTATTGCTGAGGGAGGCTAACAGCAGATGTCAAGAAAGGTCAGAGAAACTCTATGAAATATACATTGTGGAGCCCTCTCCTCCTCCTGCTGTGGATAAAATAACATGTGCCACGGGAAAATGCACTGTGCACAAGACCTGAAGGATGAACGTATGTCCAACCTCGCATCTGCTACTTGTTGAACTAAAGCTTGATCGTTTTATCCACCTTTTTGAAAAGCGCAGTAAGCTCCCGAAGAAGGGGAGCGTTACGAGCGAGCCGCAGAGGCGCTGGCACGGCTCGCGTCGGGAGTTTCGGAGCCGTTACCTGGCAGGGGCCGCCGCCCGCGGCCGGCAGGAGCACGGCCGCCAACAGCTGCTGCTTCTCCCAGAGCCAGCAGCTGAGGTGGCCCTCGGGGGGGGCCGAGGCGGCCGCCAGGAGCCGGCAGTCGGGGGAGAAGGCGAGGGACACGGCCTGCCGCGCCGGCAGCTCCTCGGCGGCCAGCACCTTGCGGCGCCGCGCCCGCTCCGCCGTCAGCTCATAGACCGCCAGCACCGGCTGCTCCCCCGCCGCCTCCGACAGCGCCACGAACCGCCGGTCGGGGCTGACGGCCAGCGCCTGCACGCCCCGGCTCTTCTCCGTGCCTGCGGGGAGCAGAGCGGTCAGGAGCCGGCACCGGGACCGGGGTTAGGGTGGGGACCGGGGTCGGTGCCACCTGGGATGAAGTTGTGCCACTTGTGCTCGAGGTGCAGGCGCAGGCAGCCCGCCCCCGCGGCGTGCAGCACCACCCGCTCCTCCAGGAAGCAGACGCCGCCGGCCACCCGCGGCCGGCAGCCGAACACGGCCACGGGCCGCACGGCCGCCCCCGCCATGCCGCCGCCGCCGCTGTCGCCGTGGTGACCGCGGCCCCGGCGGCCCCGGCGGCCCCGGCGGCCCGGAAGCGGCGGCGCACGCGGCCGGAAGCGGCGCGCGCGGCGATGGCGGCGGCGGTGGCGCGGCGTGGGTCCTTCTCGGACTCCGGCTCGGACTCGGAGGATTCCTCGCTCTCGGACTCGGAGGTGAGCCCGTGGCCGCTTGGCGAGGCCGGTGGGAAAGGGCCCCTCGGTGCCGGCGGCGCGGACTGACCGAACTCTCTCACAGCTCCAGGAGGCCTTCGCGAAGGGCGCGCTGAAGCCGGGGCTGAACGTGGTGCTGGAGGAGCGGCCGAAGCGGCGCAATGACACGGTGAGCGGGGAGCGCGGGGCCGCGAAAAGCCCGGGGCGGGCTCGGTGCTCCGCGCTGCGGGCGGGGGGCGGCTGTGGCCGGGCGGCCCCAGGAGCAGCCCCCGGTGCCACTGGGCCGGGCGGGCCGTGCGCTGCTGTGCTGAGCTGTGCTCCTTTCACAGGACGGCCTGAAGCAGTGCCTGGCCGAATTCAGGCAGCAGCTGGCCTGGGTGGAAAGGCTGGACGTGACTCTGGGCCCGGTCGCGGACCCCGTTGCTCAGAGTGCTTCTGCGTCTGATGCCGTTGACCCTGAGAATGATTTCCAGAGAGAGATGAGTTTGTAAGTATCAAAGGAGATTTCCTGTAGTGTCCCAGTGTGTTGCTGCATTTTTTGAGTTATGTTTCACCGGTGCTGCTGCAGACTGCTACATTGGCTGTCACTGTGGTGCTGTGTTATTTTACATTCGATGGCTCTCAATGTTTTCCAAAATAACTACAAATTAGTGCTAGTATAGTCAACTGCTGTGTGACTGAAAATAAATAATTTCCCTCTTCATAACAGACTTCATCCTTTGCTGAATTTATTTTAAAAGCTCTTTGATAGCAGGACTAACTCTTTAACACAAGATATGGATTTTTCTTTGTAGGTTTCTTTTGGTGCTCTTACAGTTTTCTTGTTTTGCTTTGCCTTTTATATTCCAACAAAAAAACCCTATAACTGGAAATAACATAAATGTATATGTACAAGATGTAAATGTTGTACTGGCACTTAAGCCGTTTTCAGTAGCACTGGACGTGCACAGAATGGTGGTACAATTCCAGACCAAAGCATCAGCCTGCTTGTGTGAGCAGTTTGTGTTGGCACTGTGAGGTGCCCGACATGTAGTGACAGGGCTGCTGCAGTGACAGGGCTGCTGCAGTGACAGGGCTGCTGCAGTGACAGCGCTGCTGCAGTGACAGGGCTGTTGCAGTGACAGGGCTGCTGCAGTGACAGCTGCTGCTCTGCTCTCTCCCAGCTACCGGCAGGCGCAGGCGGCTGTCCTGGAAGCCCTCCCCAGGCTGCGTAAGCTGCAAGTTCCCACGAGGAGGCCAGATGATTACTTTGCAGAAATGGCCAAATCAGACCAACAGATGCAGAAGGTACGTGCAATGAATTACTTTCTTTCCAGTGTAATGTGAGTGTTTTAGCCTGGGGTAAGGATTAAATTTAAGGTGTGACATGTGAGTACTGACCTTCATTGCTTTTCCGATTCCTGTGGCAATGATTAGGTTTGAAACTTTGTGACAGGAGATTTCTTTTTGTTTAGGTTTTTGTATATTGTCAGTGTGTTCTGGTTTTCTGTGATTTTAAATTGTATGTTATTGAATGAATATGTTTTGGATAGGAGGTTAGATTGGTGTTGGAAATAAGTCTTTCACACGTTTCCTTCTTGACTGTAGTCTTTGTTCAAAATTGAACTCTTTTTTGGTTTACATTTGGAAAAAAGACTACATTGTATAAATTAAAGAAGCATGAGCTGGAGTCTAGTTTGAAGATTCATGTATCATTAGGTCATTATTCTGCTTTCTGATGGAACATTTCTAGACAAGATGAAGAATGATAATTAGTCAGTACTAAGGCTTAAGTTGATCTTGCACATTACTGTTCTCTTCTTTTGCTGACTTACATTTGAAGAACAGTTTTAACTCCTGCTGGAGTCACTAGGCTGAATCACAAAGATCTGTGTTGAAATCTTTGTAATTCGTCATAAGGCAGCATCCTTATAAAAATGTTTGTGAACAAGGAGGAAACAAAAAAGAGGTTTTCTACAGGATTGTTGTCTTTTCTTCAGTTTTTTACTTTTAATAATGACAAGAAAGAAACTATTAAGTCTTTTTCATACACTCAAATAGACTGACAAGATACTCTCAGTTCCTTTAGAGCCCATTATAAGGCTTTGTCTTCTCTCTTGTGTTTCGTCTTTTTTAGCCAGATTTTGGCTATAGATCAGTACAGAAATTATAAAATTCTTTTTTTTTCTTTTGTGTTACTGATAAATTTTGTTTTTTCTATTCTCTAATTAGATTCGACAGAAACTTAAGAGTAAACAGGAAGCAATGGAAAGGTCTGAGAAAGCAAAACAACTCCGTGCAATGAGAAAATACGGCAAGAAGGTGAGGAGCTACAAAAGGGACATGTGCAAAAGGATCTGTGAAAAGAATTTAGAGCCTGAAAAGTGCTGGAAAAGTGCAACCACAGGAGTCTGGCTAAAACACACAGATCTGTCTAGTCTATCTGCTCTGAAGGAGAACAAAAGTATGGGACACTGCAAGGAACAACACTAACATTCTGCTTCTAATCTCAGGTGCAAGTTGAGGTTCTGCAGAGGAGACAAAAGGAGAAGAAAAATATGTTGAATGCAGTCAAGAAATACCAGAAAGGTAAAGTCAACTTGTCTAAGGGAGCAAATGCGTAAGGGCAGTAGTGGTGTGTGAGCAGTGCAGGGCAGTGTGATGTGGTCACTGTGTCTGTAGTTCTGGGCCTTGAGTTTGGAAAGCTGCTACTATGCAGAATTGTGTGTCAGTGGCATGAAAAACCTCCCAAGCAGCTAGCTGTTCTTCAGTGAGGATGACCTGTTGTTATTACTTGCTTAGAGTGAAAATTTGTATTTTCTGAGGTGTAGCTGTGATGTCTTCACTCCTGCAGGTCTCTCTGACAAGCTGGACTTCCTAGATGAAGAGCAGACGTCATCTCAAGGGAATAAAAAAGGCAATGCAAGTCAACGGACAAAGAAGGGGTGAGACCAGAAACAAAAGATAGTTAAACACAGAATATCTGATTTTTCAGTCTTTTTAGGGGATAATTCTGGGGAACAAGAAACTGTTCTGTTTAGTGTTAAAGTGGGTCCAAGGTGGCTTTCTGTCCCTAAAGAGAAGACGACTATGGCGAAAATGAAACAGAGACTGAAATGTGGTAATTTCTGCATCTTTGTTAAGAGAGGAAAGGTTTATGATGGTAGATGGGAGACCATAAGTGTATGTACTTGTGTCTTGAGAGCTTTCTGAAACAAGGAATGTAGGCAGTGATGCTGGTTGGTTGTTTTTCAGACCAAATGCCAAAAGACGATACAAAAATCAGAAGTTTGGTTTTGGTGGGAAGAAGAAGGGCTCAAAGTGGAACACAAAGGAGAGTTTTAATGATGTATCCAGCTTCCAGTCAAAAGTGGCTCACAACAAAGGCCCCGGAAAAGGAGGAAGAGGAGGAAAAGGAGGGAAAAAAGCCCTTAATGTAAGTAAAATGTTGCGTGAAAATGATCCTGCTTGGCTAGGAAGTCAGGCCATGTCTGGCAGGGAGAGACGAGTGCATGATAGATGCCTCCAGCCTCTGGAAGTGATGCCTGTCTTTGGGAGCTAAGCATAATTTAGTTACTAATAGAGCTGGAGACAGTGGTTTGGTAAGAAAATAAGAAAGAGAGTTAAAAAGTGCTCTTTGCTACTTGTGTGCCAAAACCTTCCTCTCCAGACATTCTGACAAATACTCATTCTTTGGTATCGTCCTCAAGCTATAGAACTAGAACAAAGATGGAGAACATGAAAATAAAGATCTGAATCTTTTTTTTTTTTTTTTTTTTTTTTTTTTCAGAAGAGACCTGGAAAGAGAGCAAGGCAGAAAATGAAGAACCGAGCCCGCTAAGAGAACTGTGCTCCCCAGTGGGGTTCCTGTGTTTCTTTGTGTTGCAAGATGTGTTTCTGCTGTCATCAAGCAGTACACTGTGGAGCGAGCGGGATGCTTTGCAGTGTCTAGGAAAAAAAGTCAGTGGAAACCAGTGCCTTATCACTAATTTTTTCTTACTGTCTGTTTTGTTGAAGGATTGTTTTCTATTTAAAGTTTTGGTGTGTGAACGCATTAATTGGTTTACACAGAACTATGTGTAACTCGTGCTTAGCTGTTCAGTGAATGGTGGCTGAAGCCTGCCCTTTGTACCCTTCATTCTAACAGTTTTTTCCACCACTACTGTTAAGATGAAGTTGATGACCCTGAGTTCTGGTTTATGTTGCCAATGTCAAAATAAGAAGTCTGAAGCTTTTTGAGATGTTTTTTTAGACTATTTGTGTATATGGGTATAGGAACAGCAGTGAGACGAATACAGAGCCTTACAGATAGGTTTATTTGTGTCACTGTTGTCAGGTTGTAAATCCGGACAGATTAAAGTTCTCTTTTCTATTGCCTCTCACTAGAAATGTGCCAGACTTGCTAGATAACGAGCAGGACCTAACACATTAGATGTCATTAACATTCATCTGTGGCCTCCCCCTGTGCTAGTCTTTAGTCTTCTCTCCCCGTGGTGCAGGGTAGCCATGGATGGTAATCTCAGTTGTCTGGCGTGGGAAGTAGAATCTGGTATCATTGCGGTCGAAAGGAACCTGGGAAACAAAAATGACAAACAGACATGAGCTTTTACTAAAATCAGTAGTAGTAGTCCCTCCTTGGGGGAGTGATGCATGGTATTCCACTGTGAGAAATGTCCAAATGGCAGAAGAGCAGGGTACCACTGTACTGTTCACTGTTTGTCATGGTCAAACCTGCCAGATAAGGAAAACTTAAGAAATTAAACAACATCATCAGTTCTGATTCTAAAAATCGAACTTGCTTCCCTACACACATGTTTAGTTGCTTCTACCCTGCCAGACTAATCCTATCAGCAGTTCCTTAATACCTTAGAGCCCAGCTGGGAT